TTCTGTACTGGAATTTTCTATTTTTAGCTTATTGCTTATGGATAAATTGTCATGTGCAGATTTACCTTAAGCTATGCCTGTTTTCATTAAAGTTGGGATAGTTATCCTGTTATTTCATAACTTTAGTTTTTTCTTAAGTGAAGGATTTATTTTACATTATGTAGTTATTAAAGTAAAGTTTCTTGGCTTACTGAAATCGCATTAGCTTACGTGGTATACTTAAATTGAAAATCTTCAGTATCGTTTTTTCCGTCGAAGAATGCCGCAGGTATTAAATCTTATATCGCTTGGAATATTCTTATCTCGTTTTACAGCAGTGTTGTCTAATCTTTTCAATTCTTAGATATAAAAATAGTGATAAATTATTTTGCGTTATAAATATTCATATTTGTAATTTAATGCCCGAGGTACATATTTAAAAGCTGTACATTTTTAAAGCTTTATTTAAAGGAAATCTGTTATGGTTAAGAATTAGAATGGCAAATATTAATAAGTATTTTAAGTAAAAAGTGCAGAAGTTCTTCCTTGCACTCACCATTTATTCCCAAAGTTACAGTCAGGAATATACTTCCATTTACATTACCATCATTTTTTAGATGGGATTTATAACTATTGAGAGAGGAGAAAACAGTATGTAGTTTTTTTCGTTACGCTCCCGTTTATGAATACTTAGATTCAGCTAGCATATAAACTTCCCGCAATAAACTCAATTATCCTGCACAGTCATAAATCTAATCTATTAAATATCTAAAATGTCAGTAAGCAATTACTAAACTAAATTTATTAAATTAAATTAATTAAAATTCCTAAGGTCAATATCAAGAAATTTAGAAGACATCGGAAGTGCTTAAAATGATAATTTCTAAGTAAATGATAAATAACGGTATATTATTCGTTATTTATACAAATTCTTTTTGATAATTACAAATTATTTTGCTGATACAAATTAATTTTGAAACCTATTTCATTGAAAGCAATAATTAAAAAAGTGTGAATTATTGAATACATTATAAAGATGAGTTAATATTTTAATAACTGTTCTCATTTCAGAAAATGAATCAGGAAACAATTACACCAAAATCATTCATTAGCTGAAAGAGACATTCCATAATGTTTTCTAATACTATCACAGATAATTATTTATCTTCGAATATTGTATTCAGTCTTTGAAATCTTTAGAATTAAGTAGTAAAAAATAATTTTAGATAGGAAAATATGACAGTTCAATCTTTATACCAGTGGTATAGATGCCGAATGTTTGAAAATGCGCAGTTTTGGTCCTTGAGTTAGTTTATTCTACAAATTCTACAAAGTTTTTAATAAAAAAGCTTTATCATTTGAGCTAGTTATAAAATTTCCCTCAAATCAAATTTTAAGCTACAGGTTCACAAAAATTTAAAAAAATTAATAATAACGGAGTTTCATATGCAGGTTGTCCTGTCTAGGTCTCTAAAAGTTTAGCTACGGAAACTGGCATTATCTTTCGCACCTCCCCAAGAAAGATAATATTACAGTTCTTTTATTTTAGTGGCCACAAGGTCTCTAAGTCTTTACTGCCCAGTTTTCGCTTTTTATCAGAAACTGATGAAGAAGAGAAAACTACTTCGATAGCAATATGTTTTGCGACTTTTATTTTACAAAGTGTTTATTGTTACTTGGAAAGTACCAAATAAAATGTTCTCTTTTTCGTTTTAAAAATTAGATATAGACTAGCAAACAAGCTTACCAGAAGAACGGGCTGCGGGCGAAGCAAAATTTATAAGTTCTATATACACCTGAAACGAAAATATGTAAAAATATTTCAAGATGAATGAAATCAGGTATATATATATTAATAATATTAAACGGGCATCGGGATTCCATAAAACAGTTTACTGTATCTCTGCTTAGAAAAGACGGGTGGCAATTTTAATATTCCATAGCGTACACGCTTTGACGCAATACGCCGAACAGCAATGAATTTCAGCGAAAAAAGCAACTTTCCAGGTTGCGAAAATTAGCGTTTTCAGACTTTTTAATTAACATTTCGTCTGACGAAAGTCTTACGAAGGTGAGAATGGTGGAAATGTTTTCCCCCGAACTTTCGGAATCCAGAGGTACTTCTTGAAATTCAACTCCCACAGATTCGGAAGAGATGATGTTACAGACAAGCAATAAAACAAACAAGCAGAGCTGAGATTTTTAACAGTACAGAAGTCTCTTCCCAATTGTCCAAAGCGAAACTTAACCATTTCTTAATAAACGTTTCCAAATTATGGAAAACTCCCCTCAGTCTGTCTTACACACTTTTTTGAAGTTTCTAAGTTTTGAACTGATGTTAAAAGCTTCTAAAACTTTACCGAGTCAAGAGCTTTAAATGTATCAAAGGTTCAATTTGTAAATTCAATTACTTAAATTTCTTTAATGAATTCTTTTATTGCATTCAATAGTCTTTAATTACGGTTTTCCATATTTTTTACAATATTTGCTTTTCAGATAAATATTTTGCTTTGTAATTGTCATTGAGAAATTTTTCTTAAGCTATGCAGTTTCACAACAGATGATGTTAGATAGTTGTGAACATAGTAACAAAGTCTACTCATACATGAGAAAAGCCAAAAATGATATTTTGTCATCCAAAATAGAACATGGACCATAACACTGCGCTTCCATTAAAGTAAGATTTCTCATACTTTACATTCAGGAATCCTTTTCATCAAATGAAATTCACTTGAGTAAGATTTCATTTTATCGAAAATTGCAGAGTATTTGTATTAAAAATAAAAGGATATAACAAAAGTATCCTGGTAAGAAGTTTGCATAACAGAATTTTAATTAGAAACAAAGCACATCAGTTTCGGACATTTTACAGCATGAAAGTTGCATTAGTAGGATATATGTAATAGCGTCTGTATTAATAAATCTCTTGTTAACATAACTAGTTATATAAAAAAATCTAATGCTTTTCCACCGAATAATATTAACCCTTTGTGCTCGGGACCTTTTTCACTCGGCACAGCAGCAACTCGACACGTTTCGCAGCCTTTTTCACGCATTTCTTACCAGTAACTTAAAATCATTATACACACAAATTAATGTATAACATTTTTATAATTTAACATTTTATATATCTTTACACCTTTATAAACATAATTTCTTAAATATTAGTCTATAATTTTTCTGTGTATGATATTTCATGAAACAATTACCAAGATGCATGCCTGGTTTGTCGGGGTAAGTATTACAATAATATGTCGTTTGATGTCTTTTCCGGGTTCATTTCTCTGAGAACAGACTTTGTGATAGATAAGAAAAAGTAAGATTTCAGATAAGCAAATCTTATCTTCATTTAAATTAATCTTATCTTCATTCATTTAAATTTTCATCTTTTCTGTATAATCTTATGAAGTGTAAAATGAAGTGTATCATTTTACACTTCATAAGATTATACAGAAAGAGGATAGAATTGTGTGTGTGTGTGTGTATGTGATTATGGCAAAGCCTCAAGGGCTATCTGCCTAAGAGGAGGGATGCCTTCGTGGAGGACTTTCTAAGGGAAACTGGCTCGTATACACGTTACACATGGGGAAAACCACGAAAACACCCATGCAGCCAGCCCGTTCGCGGGATTCGAACCTCGGACCGAACTACCAGGAAAGAGGATAGAAACCCACATCGAAGAAACTAAATGTAAACAGTTATTGCCGCGCATCGAATTTCCGCATTAAATCATGTGGTGAGCGAGAGTCACCTCTCGAGTTGTGGCGTCAAATCACATGGTGAATGACAGTCACCTCTTGAGTGCAAAAGGTTAAGCCACCTCTAGTTTGAGAGCCTTGTACCTAAAGGGAATCTGTCGTTGATTAGAGGACAAGTTGTTACTGTCATAATTTTCTAAGCCGAGTTGATGCGTACTTAACATGGTTTCACGCGGCTGGTACACAAAAGCACACGAGAAATGGACTGTATATTCTTGACTTTTATTTAATTAGACCAATTCTTCACATACCACACGGCTGTCACAAATACGAAGTTTTATTCACCACTCATCTTGTTGCCACATGCAACAAAAAGTAAAGGGAAACTTACATTCTAAAACGATAAATCATAGATTAATTATCTTCGACTTCGGACTGATGAATCAGCAATTAAATAAGTAAACCAAGCGATCTTATTTTTTATATGCTGCTTTCAATACTCACTTGAATACTGGTTGAGTACAGGCCTAAGCTGAGTACAAACATAAGCACATGAAAGACTTAAAATACTTCTCAGGTAATACAGTGATTTCGATTGCTTCGCAGAGAAATTATGACAACCGATATCATGGTGCATGCTTCTAATCTAGTCGCCAAAGAAGTCGCCTACGAATAAAAAGACCTATGGTTCGAAAATAGCCAACGAAAATTATAAAAACTATAATTTTCCATTTCTAGTGGACTCTAGTGGACTAGTGGATAGTGGACTCGTCTAACCACTTTTATCACACTAGAAACAAATTTTGCCAACACACACGTCGATCACAGCATTTCGATTGCTTCCTGAATTTGACGCAATAAGCAGCCATAATCCTTTCTTCCTTCTCATTGGTTGATCAACATGCAAGACAGAAGGGTTGAATAAAATTTGTCGCTCAAGCTCATTTTGTAAGGAAGCTTTTATAGGAAATCCTACTGTCTGTTGCATTTTCCTTCCACTTGTGTCATCCTAGTTAGAATGTTCACCTATGTGATCTACAGAGTGAATCGCTTCAGTACAATAACATATTTCATTTGATTTATGTAAGAAACTGTGATGTGTGCAATCCAGCTTCTGATGAAAATTTACTATCTTTCCGATTTATAACTAAATTATTAATACAACTATATGACAGTTATTTAAGTTTATTATTATATTCCGAAAAAATGGCATTTTGAATCAAAATTAATGGATTTTCTTTCCCGAGCATTTAAAGGAAGTTGATGGGATTGCACTTTAAGTGATCAACTGACATTGTTAAAACAAAATTTGTTATTTTCTAGGGAAAAACTTTGCCAGAATTAATTGAACTTGTTACGGAATATAAGCCAGACGTTATCTGGTCTGATGGAGACTGGGAAGCTCCTGATACTTACTGGAATAGTACAGAATTCTTAGCCTGGCTCTACAATGAAAGGTAAGGAAAACCTCTTTTATTTCCAAATAAAGTATCTTTGTAATACTTCAAAGGGGTAATATGTTTTATTGTGATTTTTATTGTTCTCTGGTAGTTTAATGATGACAGGCTTGCGTTTGGAAATGCAGGTCAATTATAATCATTTTCTTTGGTCAGTGGCGGGTAATTTTTTGTGCGCATATAAGAGACAAATTAGCAGACAGAAGTAACAAAGAGAAAAGCATCATTGTGTCAAATTAAATTACATTCAGTTGCATATTCCTGGACAAGTTAAAATACTGTTTTAACTAAATTATACATTTACAAACTATATGTATTTTTACCATATGTGTTCAAGAATAGTCTGACAGTAAATCGAGCTCTTTTTGAGCGTGCCTCGAATTTATTTACCTATTCATTTATTTGCAAATGTCTGGTTTCTTGCAGTTGAGTCAGTAGCCCTCTTGCTTCCCGGTACTTTTAACTGAAAGAATTAACAATTAAGTGCAGAGCACATGCTAGAACATTCGTTGGTCCATAGTTTATCAAGATTCATTACGAGAACTCAATGGAGAATTCCTGAGTCTAATGTAAAAGAAATCGGCATTGGGACCATCATGTCCAGTCAAAAGACGAAATGATGTCAAAGCTGTAGCATGAGCAAAATCAGGGATATTATATTCCTTGTACAGGGGACACTGTCAATCCCATCTCCTAAATTTAACACGAAAATGTGAGTCACGGATCTTGCTAAACTCCCTGTTTATCAATCTCTTTGTAGAATGAAAGTTACCGGAATGAAATTTCTGTATTTCTGAAGGCACTAGTTCTTCTCCTCTCTCATACATAAAATGCCGTATATTTCCGAATATAAGCCGATTCGTATATAAGTCGAGAGATACGCTTTTGCTGCAAAAATCCAGCTAAAATTGAAAACGCGTGTGCAAGCCAGATTTATATTGTTTTATATAGCGAGATATAACTGCCGAAAGTAGGAACAACTGATCCTGTTACTTATTTACACTATCGAAAGAACTAAAGATAAGCTACAAACCGTTTTCGACATTCATTCGAAAAATAGGAGTGAAATCATAGCAGAAAAAGAGCTCATTTGGCTCGAATAGTTTTCATTTTTCAATCCTCCCAACGTTTGGGCATACATACATATCATTTGTCACTTCGGCAAAATCTTTTCAAGAATGATATTGAATTTCGAAGAGTTTCTGGAAAAATAAACTCTAACAAATTCAGGTTCAGGTAATTAGATTTCTTGCATTACGCAAGAGGTAGAAAAATGGATTGAAGAAATATTTAAAAATTCTATTTAGCGTAATCTCCGAAAAGAAGCTAAATATAATAAAATTTCTTTTAGACCAACGGATCTTGAATTATAATTTATTAATAACTTGAATTAACAAAATTTTGAAAGAAAATTCTTTTTTATAAGTATTTTTCAATTAAGGAATACTTTATTTTTTCTCCTTAAAGCTAATGGAATTTTGCTTCTTTAGTACCGAGCAATTACTTTGTTAGATACGATTAAATAATTACCTCATTCCTATAGTTACTTGCTAAAATGATTTATTTTATATGCATGTACGCACAGGGCAATAAAAATATAAATATTTTTAATAATGAAACAAATACAATAATGGGAGGGCGTAGTTTGCAATTTCCTCAAACGGAAAAAAAAAAAAAAAAAAAAAAAACTGCCGCTATTTGTGATTTATCTTTATGCAAACCACAATGTCCACTTACACACGTTTAATTTTTTTTTTCACAGGCTTCCTATTATTTTGTACATTCATTAACGAGGTAATGTTGTATTTCTAAATTAAGAGTCTGTTGCTGTTGTTTCAAATCGCCGGGTATAGCTTAATTCATTCTTACGAAAAGACCAAAACCCTTCGGTCATTTAACCCTGTCATCACTGAAGGTGAAGCATGTCGACGACGGATTTGACACCCACGATAACGGAGAGGTTCTATTCTAATTTTAATAAAGCTAATCGCTCAGAGACTTTTACACTTAATATCGAAGCTCTCTTAGGGGTTGGAACCCAGACCCAGCTTTGAGGCAATCAGCAGCGTTAACCATTATACCGATCGGGGTAGCAATTAAGAACTTTTGCAATATTTATTTCAACTTCTTTATCTCTGATTCAAGCAAGATTTGTTTTCGTAGTTTATACGTATTAGATTTCAGTTTAAGCAGTCAGTCGGATGCAAGTTTCTTCTGTGTGTGTATATAATCTCGCAAATATTTATAATGTTGAAGAAATCAATCGCTTTACAACTACAATAAAAAATTAAGAAACTTAGAAATGACTTCCTTCCACACTGTGGAAATTTGAATATTGTTCAAGAATAAAATAATGTAATAAGTTTTTAATTACTACATATTATTTGTAGCGCTTGAATATTTTGAAAACAATGCATAAATTAATCACTTTAAGCATATGTAGGCAGTTATATACTTTTTTCTTAGATACTTTAAAAAAGCTCTTTGCATTATGAGTATTTATGCCCTTTATTATTTTAGGGAAGCAGGAAAAGGTTTATTGCTTTGAAACAATAACCATCAAATTGCCATAAACAATAATAATCATAGGAACCGATAAAATCTAACAGCAATGTTTTCATTCAGTGGTATTTCCCCTGAGAAAACGTTTCACGACGCTTGGCGAAAATATCAAATACATACCTGAAAAAAGCAGTTCTGTGCATGAATTACGAATATAGGTTTTAAAAGAGACATTTTATTTACGCTTGGCGACATATCATAGTTCCCTCTTAAAGGCGGATCCGAATATTATTGGCTGTAGAGACAGAACCGCATTTTTGTCTTGCCATACATTGTGCAGTTTCTACGCTGCAGACCTCGATACGACTCCAAAGATTAAGGTCAGCTCAGCTCTAGGTAGACGGAGAGTGTGACGATTACCACACTCCTTCGTCAGCAGCCGTATTTCCATAAGAAATTTTACTTTTCTTCAGTACATTATGGAAATTTGTATGCATAATACTTCTCTTTTTAAACTACCTATTTTTTCATATTTCATTGATGCAGGTTTCTTTGAATTCTGAGAAAAAAACTAAATTACAGTATTATAAAAAAGTAAACAAGGGTTATTTACTTAAAGCTGTATGCTAGTTTTGAATGAAAGCACCCCTGGGAGATGAAATTTGAAGGCACTGTAACAATTTTTTCACATGACTAGAGCGCATGGGCATCCTTTTTACTCAGGTAAATTATACTAATGTTTGTTATATATGATACATTCTAGAGCCCAGATGTGTGATCGGCTCTTTTTACTAACCATAGTATCACAAAGGACGGATTACTTTTATAGAGAGGTAATTACAATTTCTAACTTCGATATTCACTAGAATTTCTCGCATGTTCTTTCATAAGACATTTTAACTATTGAATATAGATTAAACCTTTATTCTAAGCAAAACTGGGCCCCTAACTAAAGTACATTCTATCTTTTAATTCTGGAAATCCTTTGAGTCTTTGAAATAAATGAGGAAGAAAAAGAAAATTAAGTACTTTTTTTAATTAATTTGTTATACTTGATAAATTTTAATATATTTGTTATACCTGATATATTTCCAGTTTTTTTCGTAAAGGTATAGCTTTAAAATGAAATAAAAATCTGAAAGATTATAATTTTGCAGGAAGGAATTTTCGATAAAAACATTTCTTCAACATTATAATTATGTATTACTAATATTTTCTCAATTTCATATGTTCTACTTCCAGTCCTGTTAAAGATACTGTAGTTGTAAATGACAGATGGGGCAGCGGAATTCCTTGCAATCACGGTGGATATTACACTTGTACCGATCGCTACAATCCGAGTAAGTAGCTCAAAATTATTGCTTTATTTTTGGTTTTATTTATTATTGTCTGTTTTTTAAGCTCACAGTTAATAACTAATAACTAAGCTATATACATTGATCAAAATATAGATTCAAACGACGCTACACATTAAAAACGTTTCATGTCTATCTAATGTCTATCTATGGTAATGTCTATCTATGGTAACGAAATCAACCCGGAAATATATAATATCGGAGCGATAGGAAGAATAAGAGTACCTTATAATACCGACAGAGTTTGGAAGCTGCCCTTACAGAGCAGTATCCAAAGCTAATAAGGTAGTGTTTTTCAATCTGTTATATATAGAATTTGTAATTAACTACTTGTTTTAAACTTTAATTTTGAGGTCGTATCATTTTTTATCTTTTTATGATTTTGAATTTACTTTTAATGTTATAATGTTTACTTCTGTTTTTGAAATTGAAATGAGAGTGTAGGGGATATGTCATCTAAGTAAGCATCTCGTTCAGATTAATTGTGCTCTTAATAGAAACTTTAATTTTAAGATTATTTGCTATTTTGTTTAACAAGATTCTTGGCTTAAATGGACTAATGTCTTTATTTAGATTGAGTATTAATTTTGACTTATGGTTTGAATCTAGCAAATAATTTGATGTTTACTAAAATAAACACTCTCTTATGTTAGTTGTTGTTAACTGATGGTAGGTCGGTTTATCCCCTGATAAGTCGATTAATCTGCGATCAATGATAGTGACTACGTTTTCAATATTTAGAATTTACTTTTCGTTTTGGTATATTTGCGCTTTAAGATTTTTCTTAGTAGATTTTTAAACAAGAAATTGAAATTTCTCTTCAAAGAACTAATTAGATTCTGACTAAAAAAATTTTTTTCATTAATGGTTTTAAATTGAATTTGTGTTCCTTAGAGATGGTATATGGAAAGTTTTCTTACTATAAATTATTATGAATTATTAGTTTATTACTTTGTAGCTTTAGCGCAAGTCATGGTCTTTTTAATTTACTTTTAATTATTTTATTTTGAATATATTTATGTATATGTAAGATATAACAAAATACTATGGCTGCTTTAAGAATAAAAGACCTTAAAATTAACCACTCTAGATTTTATGCTCTCCCTCTAAATTCATCTGTTCTTCCAAATTCGAGATGTTACATAATAACCTAAAATTAACCAATCACAAATAAGCTGTACTCATGCATCAGACTTAGTATATAAATACTCTTGGCACAATAACTACGTGATTTCTTTCCCTAACTTTTACCTTGCTAACATCCTCGCGCTGCTTCCCTTTTCAGTCTAAGATGCTTACGTCTTACTTTTAAAATCAATGTATATAAAAATTATCATATTGAAATATGATTGGCTAAATGCCTTGTCTACAAAATGATCTGATGTGAATTATAATGTAAAAAAAATTATGTTCTGAAATGGCTACATCTGAAAGTTTGTGGTTTATGCCTCCATCCATCTAACTACGTAGACTTCAAGCTGCGGCGTATCAAAATTCCATCCCCCGGCCATGATGTTAAGTATCGGCAGCTGTTAAGTATCGGATTCCTCACCTGCTTTATATATTAAACAACAAAAATACATAGAAAACGCTGATAAATATCAAAACTTGAGTATAAGTATTTTTTATATTAATAAACTAAAATTACATATACTTAACAGCTAAATAAAAGGCTGACCACTCCACGTTTATGAAATCCCCCTCCAGTAGGAATTCCTTGCTGATTGAGAACGCGTCTAATAAGTCATGTAGGTAGCAGAAACAATACGTTTTCGAAATCGCTGGTACATACACTCGGGTTTTCTTTTAAAATTATAAGTGAAGTTGAGTATACACCAGACATCATGTGTCGTATGACAATAAATCACCGTTTTCAAGTTTGAAGATTTAGATGATCTTTCAATTCAAAGTGTCTCTCTTCTTTCCATAAATTGAGATTATAAGTTGTTTACAGTAAAAGTAACATGAAAGGATGTTTCACCCTGCACTGAATGTCACAAAATCCCAACGCTTAACTTTCTCCCATGTTAGGAGTCATGCTATCTGACAACGGGTATGCTGACCTGTGACAATGACAGTCTATGAAGCAGAGCTGCATATTCAGATTTCCATATGATAAAATACCATCTGGTGAATAACTATAATTAAAATAACTTTATTTACAAATAAATAATTCTAAAAGTACACTTTTATGCATTTCTGTGTTAATTGCATTATCACATTATTATTAATAAAAGTTGTAAATTTCTTAAAATACAAAATTTTCTTTTGTTCATTAACTTTTGGATCACTTTTTGGTCTGTCGTACATTTTCAAGAGATTTTTGGTAAGCTTATGATCATTCAGTTTTACCAACATATCAAAATTATGATATTTATATGAAAGTGGATGAAAGTTTCTTGACATTTGCTATTGTTCTCCCTATTTATTTATGTTTTATCTTCATTTCTGAATGCTAAAGGAAATGATTTAACATATTCATTTGTTATATAATATTAGTAAATGTAATTCTAATACCTAAAGTATTCTACAGAAATAACATTTTATTTTCAAATTAATGAAAATTTGAGAAGAGAAGAAATTATTAAAGAAATGATTAAATCTACGTAAAATTTGTAATTCGCTTTGTCACTGGTTGTTCGAATATGGCAAATCACACGAGAGCTATCTTCTTACGGGAAGGTATAGCTCCGTGAAGAATTTTCTAAGTAAACGTGGCTCATATTCACGTTACATATATGGAAAATCACGAAAATTCTCAGAGCTACTCCATTCGCCAAGTGTTTGACTTGAGTCGAGGCAATGTCAAACTTGTTGTACTCAGATTTCTTAATTATTCAGGCACTCGGGGCTTATCTTTTTAACTAGGAAGTATTTATGGATATATATTATCAAAATATTGTAATATGTTAACATCAAAATTCTCTCTCCCCCAAATGAAAAACTTCAGAAGTATTTAATGAACAAAATATTAGATTATACCCTTCTTAGAAATTTAATTCTTAAATTCAGTCTCCTATCCTAGGTACATATGTAAAAATTCCTTATAAAGTATTTTTATTTAGAAGCAGTCATACCCAACAATATATTTGTAAACATTTTGTTGTAAATATGTAGCTCTTTAACGGAGTGGTAGTCGCTAAATATGTGCTAAAGCATCGTTTGTGGTAACCTATTTATATCGCGTCATGCACAGTTTTGAAGTTATAGTATACATACAGTTTAATATAGGCATTACCAAAACTGTGTGGAATGCCGAATTTATGCAAATACCTGATGATTTTTAGGCGAAACGAGATCACTGTTCACATGGATAGAAAAAAATTTTCGTTTTCAAGTGTACCCAACGATCTTTTTTTACATAAATAATTATCAAATAATTGCATAAATTCGGCTTCGTAATCTTGGCATAACGTACGTTACTATTACACATATTATAAAATGTTATAAATTACATGCATAATATGTAAAATGATAATTCTTTTCATGAAGCTACATATTTCATTACGAATCAGTTTATAGGCGAAGTCAATCACGCTGTTAGTAATTAGGGACAACGCTTTTTTAGCCTATTTGTGCTATAGTCTTCAGCACCCATTTGATTTAAATTTTTAGATTTGCCTTTCTGTTACTAACGTCCCGCAAGCTGCGAAGATTTAAAATGTAAAAGCAAGTTGTGCATCTGAAGTTTCAAATCAAAAGGTTGTTCCAACTTTGTTCTATTTCAGTAGTTAATTTCACAGACGGGCTGATAACTCTCCTGACTGTCTTAGTAGATTTGAAAAATTAAGTTAATTACAAAAAGAAGCCTTACAATTGTGCGTCAGCTTTTAAGCCAAAACTGTACTCTCATTTTCCGAAAAGTTCTTGCTTAAATCACTTTACTTGAGTGGAATTCCTTGTAAATATTCATCTTCCTAATACACGAGCTTAAAAACGTTTCTCGTCCCGGTGAATGTTAAGAAACGTAACATAAATCTGATAAATTTTAGAATAGCTCAAACATTTTTAAAGAATACTTTTCCAGAATGCCATGTGCACTGAATGAAAAAATTAATGCTGAAAAACTTAAAAAAAAAAAAAAAAACTTTAGATAAAATAAAGCAATTTGATATAGAATTTTATCCAATGAAGGTTTGAAATTTGTTTTTCTTCTTAATCGTTTGAAATGAAAGTACATTTCATTTCATGTCTTCAAGAGATGCTCTCTGTTTCTGTGCTTCGGAGAAATATCGAATTCATTGGAATTCGTTTGTAAAAAAAATTTTCACTTAGCTTAGCTCTTAGCTTGTGGTTGAAAAAAAAAAGATATTTAGCTTTCCAAAATAGATATTTATTTCTAACTCAAGTAATATTTTCTAAATAAGTAAGTGAAGTTATATAAATCATTGCAGGGAAACGAACGGAGGTACCTAGAGCCACCTAATTTTGTATACACATAGTTGTTCGGAATATGTACATATCGAAGTTCGAAACTTGAACTTTTTTATTTCTTTTAAGCTTTGTACGAATATAATGCAATTCTGATTAATAAACTCAACGATTTCAAAGGAATGTGCTGATACATGGCAAAGCATATGTTATTTGTCTTTCAAACTTAATCAACAAACACAGTGGTTTAAAAATAAATGTTGCCACTGCCCGAAATAAAATATTCTGTCTTACTCAGCAAGTATATTTGCTATTCCGCAAAGCATAAAATATTTAAATTTTCTTTTACATTTAATCTATCTGTTATTTGTTAACGAACGAAGTGATTTAAAAGCAACAAACAGAGTTATGGCTTAAAACTGATGAAGTTAAGTATAGCCTAACAGCTTCCCAGTTTAACTATCACGGAACCTAGCTCTGACTGAGTCGGTAAGCTTAATGGTAAGAATAACAAGACACTGCAGACTTCTAAACGTTGCCTTCAAACAGGCAGAGCACACTCTAGTTTCACCTCTTACCTCACGTTCACTTCTGCTGTCAACTACATAGTTTTTACCAGTTCGTTCGGTTTCACCGTTCAGGCCATTCACGGTTGTTGAGAAATTAATTAACGCCGCTCGCTCGAAGGCGAAAATAGAAAGTTCATGACCGAAATCAGTCATTCAAGCCCAGTAGAAAAAGTATAAAGTTCGTGCGAGAGCAGTAGATCAATGGAGATCGAGGGATTCAACCCGCGAACTGTGTTTCTGAGAAGTATCTGCGTAGCCAGTCATCTTTATCGCTGAGAAATCATAGTCTTCACTTTCTGCGAATCTCCTTACATTATTGTAGCTTGGAAGCCGGTTTTGATTTTCAAAGCAAAGTTCATAATTCATGGAGCCCCATGAAGTTCGATCAAATATTCATAAAATATATTGCCATACAAAAATGTTATAATGTCTTAATTAAGCCTTTATAGTTCATAAAAGAATGTTACTGCGATGAAATTATAAATTAAATAATGAAATTTTAAAAGAGTTAATGCTATAATACTATTTTATCTATATTAGTAAACGAGTTGACAAATAGCTTTTCCTAGGGCAGAAAATATGTTCATAATTTTATTAATTTGAAGACCAAGAGGTCTTTGTTTAATAAAGAATCTTTTGAAAGAAATATCATTTACGCCGGAAATTTAAAATGGTAATGTTTCGTTATGAAGCATTCCTATACATAAAGATCCGTAAATGCAATGTCCTCACAGGAACAGTGATCAGTATTGATTAATCTATGTTTAATAGTAAATTTTTGCTAAACGACCATGCCCTGTTATGTATCTTGATAACTGAGGAATCGAAGTTTTGTGATTTAGATTAACTGTTGGTATATAATTTAAGGCGCGTTTGTCTTGTTCACAAATATTCCACTCTTATTGCAATTTTTGCAGAAAGTAGGCTATAAAAAGTTGTTGCAGTTACTGAATAATTAGTGTAAATAATGAATATTTTTTTTTGTAAATATCCGTGTTTGAAACGAAATTTCGTACCCTATGTTCTTCATAGTTACACATTTTCTGCGTTCCTATTTCACATTCCACCACAAATTGTATTAGGAAAATTGTTATTTTTCTCATGTTCTATCTCTCTTTAATATTGTGAAAATCAATTCTTCTATGTATTGTATATCGGCGCAAGTTAATCTATCCAGTGTAAACTATGCCAGAAATTTGATACAATTTGATGTTGCGAGCTATTAATTCTTGGCTGCTATTTTAGAAAGTAGTAGATCCATATGAACAAGAAATTCATAATTTATTATAATTAATAATGATGCACAGCTAAATAGTTGGAAACAGCTCTCAGAGGATATGGTTACATTAAGCAATTCCTCCTGTGAGAACGAGTAATATCGTCAATTTCCCAAATTATTCACAAAGTTGTTGTTTCTGGCTTGCTCTGGCGCAGCCCGCAATATGGCCATAGGGCGGCGTAAAGTCAGCCAGGAAGGTCGGGCTGCGCCCATCACATCACATCATTCATAGAGTAAACTCTGGAAAGAAATTTAGTTAACCCTCTTTGAGCTATAAAGTCTCATAAGCTGATCACTAAAATGAGTGAAAATTTGTCACTTTAGCAAGAAATCGTCAAATGCCGTCAAACTAGTTGACAAATCTTGTTGCCAAGGCTCGTCAGGAGACATTTGCCCAAACCTCGAGTGCTACTTAAGTCATTTAAACGTTGTTGCACTCAGAATTGAAAGATGCAGAATACTATACAAAAAAATAAACACTCGTACTCAAAAATGTGGCTAAGCATTTAGTTACAAACAGAAAATAAAGCATAAAGCTGTTATCTTAAAAGCAACGTAATGTAATTTAATGTAAAAGTAATTCAAAAGGATTTAAATATTTGTGGAAATTTACAACAATAATTACTACATTAACTGTAAAAAAGTGTTGATTACGATTTTATATCCACTGCAAATAGGAGATTCATGTGTTAATTGAAACAAACCAACGAAATACTGATATTACATTAAAATGCAGTGTAATCGAAGCGATCAAGAAAAATTTTGTCAAATTTATATCCGTAAAGAAGCTTCTTTCTGTTTGATTTTCTTTGTCAGTCTGAATGTCCACTTTACATTCAGACTTTCCAATCTACGTTTGTTAAGCAATATCATAGAAAGTACGCGTTCTGATATATGTTTTGATAACTTAAAAGAAATATCTCATTAGCGTTAAGGCTAAAAGATTTCAAGAGATATCTCATAAAATTATAAAATTAAATGATCTTGAAAGAAATTTTTCGTTAGAATTAACACCTTAATCTCTTAATTTCTCAAATTTTTCAAGATCCTCCCTAAGAATCAATTCTAGTTTTTTAGGGGGGGGAGGGGCTTTTCCTTCTCATTTCTTCTTCCTTTTCTTTTTTGTTCAAATATTACTTGATGTTTCTTTTTTATCTAGAAACGCTCCAGAAACACAAGTTTGAGAATGCTATGACCTTGGATAAGAACTCGTGGGGCTACCGAAGAAACATTGCACTGAGTGATTTCCATACTATTGAGGAACTAATTACAATTATGACTGAGACTGTCAGGTAAAAGCATACCTTTGGTTACAAATGTTTTGGAGGACAAACACTTGCCAGTATTTTAATTTTAGTCTAAAAAGTGTATTGAAAACTTACCTGTCTTTATATTGTGTTCTGATCTCGATTACATTTGCAGCCTCTTTTACATGATTACATCAACAAATTTCTGTACCCGTTAATTCAAATAGTGTAAACTATGAAATTTGATGTATTAAATGCAAACATCACAAGCTGTTAAGTGTTTGACAGCTATTATTACCAGTTCGCTACAAATAAGAATCTTATAATCAGTAAATGCAATTGAAATAAAGTACTGACCTTAATTTAAAACTCATTTTCAACTCAAGCGACTGACATAAGTAACATGGTGTTTACGAATTGGAATCCAGTCAGTTTTACTTTTAAAATTATCTTTTTGATGTCAGAAATGACCTTTGAGGAATATTTCCAAACTCTTTGCATTGTTAAATTCGTTACATTATTTTACATCACGCTACCATACAAATTCTGCCAAAACATAAGATTTTTTATTTATCTTCCATATGACCGGGCGCACTGCTATACCTTAAGCTTCTGCTATTTATCGAAACATACCAATTTTTAAATTTTAATTTACTTCTCAACTTAATATTTTGTTACTTCTTAAACAATATAGCAATATAAATTCTATAAACACATTTTTGAATAAATTAAATCTATTTTATTTTTAAAAAAATACATAATTAACTAAATTAGAATAATTTATAATATTACACACACAATCGTTTAACTTTACGAATATGCGCAGCTATAATATAATTGTTAAAGGATTTTCTAATGCTATCCATCATGTACACTGAATTAAAAAAAAAAAAAAAAAAAAAAAAAAAAAAAAAAAAGAGAGAGAGAGAGAAAAGGGAGCAGCGACAGTTCTTTATCTTCCGTTCTATGGGGCAATTGACGAAATTCAACTTGTGTTTTCCATATCTGGAAAGCGCAAGTTTGGATACATATTGGATTTGTATATTTGTATATAGCCCATTGTACTAAGGTAGGTATTTTCGCAAAAAACAACGATTTTTTTTCTTAAATGTGCCTGTCTTTTTCATATATCAGTCTAAGCCTCAAATTATTCCAAGGTGCCAAGTTTGATTGTTATGCCAGAGGCTAGAGTTTTCAGATCTTTACTATTTACTACATATAATACAGCGCCGATAGCAAAGTCAGAATTATCGGCCATCAGGGTATCTATTGATGAGGAGCATGGTTAGCTAGCCGAATTCATGTGGTCGTGTTTGCATGCTTCAAATGCTTCAGTTGAATTATCGTCCCAAGGAACTGGCCTTTTATCAATTTTTGTAGACTTTTAGCAGTTCATGCAAGGGAGTATGAGTTTTGGAAGTGTTTGAGATGAAACTACGGTAGAAATTAAGCATTGTCTAAAACCGTCATAGTCAGGTTTTGGAAATTCGGCTATTGCTTGAGGTTTTCTGGGGTGCAATTTTAACGCCAGAATGTGTTATAAGACATTTCAGAAAGGCAACAGAGAATTTTCCTAGAACACATTTAGCTGGATTTAGTTTTAATCTGGGCCTTCTGAGATGAACTAATACTTGCTCAAGATCATTCTGGTGGTCCTCCTCATCTGATGACGTGATTCGAATATCATCCAAATAGGGTCTAGGCCACTTAACATCTGATAAAGGTATAATGTATTTCAACCGCCTTCCTTGGCATGCCTTCGTGGTGTGGTGGTCTGCACACTGAGCGCGTATTCCAGAGATCCGCGGTTCGATTCCCGGTGAAGGCGTTGCTCATTTTTCATCATTCATGCTTCCAAATAATCCTAATGTCTCTACAGTATCGCCCGAACTAAAAAAGTGCTGGATGATGATTCTCCCCACCCAGGATTTGACGATTGGGTCACCTAAAAACACCAGTCGCCCTTTAAAAGGGGGTATATGAGGTATTTCTCCCGCCTTCCTTGGCATGCCTTCGTGGTGTGGTGGTCTGCACACTGGGCGCGTATTCCAGAGGTTGGCGGTTGGATTTCCGGCGAGGGCGTTGCTCATTTTTCATCTCTCCGCCTTTTCCAAGTATCCTAATGGCTCAACAAAGCTACCGGTGACAGGTTCGTCCTGCGTTACGGAGATCAGATTCGTAAACAGATATTCAAATAAACTGAACAGAATTTGTTTCAATGTTGGCTAGATTCACATGGATCTAGAATACGCACGAGCTAAATCTAGTTATGAAATTATGCCACTGAAGGTTATATCATATGATAAATGGAGAATTCAAATAAGTCAGAATTGTCGAAATAGATAGAAACATTGCATGTTCTCAGCCGAATTTATTGAACATACCTAAATTTATTCGAAACCTTGTACTTGTGTCAGCTGTCAGCTAAAAAGGTTTTCAGTATTAATAAAACTACTCTATTCTTTCATCTCATGCCTTTAAAGTGCCTAGCCCCCAAAGACGTTCAGTATCATCGACAAATTAATTTCACAATTTTACTCTGACCAGTTGATGAAACGAAAGGCGACGTATTTACTTGCAGCAGAAAACGAACTGTTTCAAAAGTGAGTATGATACATAACGAATAAAAAAGGGAGCATAATTGCGAATGTATCTGCAAAATGCCTCAAGAATGTTATTAGCACATTGAGGTTTTATTAAAGCAATCCATCGTTAAAAAAAAAACTAAGGCATGAAGGAAGTAAAATATTTTTTTTATTTATGATTGTCTGTTTACTTATTTGTTTGCATAATTTTTTTTGGGGGGGGGATTATGCTATTTGATTTTTGTGATTTAACAAAAGAAAAATTTGAATTTATTCGGAAATATGGATAATAATTTAGCAAACTAAATGTAGGATGATAAAACTGTATAATGCAATGGCACTGGGTGATAAATGAAAGATGTATTAACCGTGCTTTGCGGTATTTTCTCTTTTAATACAGAATGCAGTTTTCGAAGACATCGTGAGGCATACAGAATGACAAAGTATTCTTTGGAAAGAAATGCTATTCAAATAAATAAAATAAAATTTAAAAAAATATAAAAATAAACATGCTTAAAGTGCATAATCCTAATGAATAAATAGAAATTTTGAAAATAAATATTGGAAGAATTATAATTCAACCATGCATCATAAATAATTAAAACAAAATTCTAAAAAGAAGAAGACATCTAAAAATAACAAATGGTATTAAAAAATATAGTTTAATCTAGTTATGAAATTATGCCACTGAAGGTTATATCATATGATAAATGGAGAATTCAAATAAGTCAGAATTGTCGAAATAGATAGAAACATTGTATGTTCTCAGCCGAATTTATTGAACATACCTAAATTTATTCGAAACCTTGTACTTGTGTCAGCTGTCAGCTAAAAAGGTTTTCAGTATTAATAAAACTACTCTATTCTTCTACTCTATTCTGAAGTAAAAATATATACAAAGAAAGAAAAAAAGATATTTTTTCCCACTCGTATAGAACTGAAAGGAAAAGGAAAATAAGTTGCCATAAACTGAGAAGTTTGCCGAGTGAATTTCTCTTGGCGCAAAGTAAAAAAAGTGTAAGACGATTAAAGTTCCGAATTGCTGATTTAGTTTCACACCAAATTTTACAAAATTTGCTTTCAGGAATAATTTGAGCCATAGAGTGTAAAATGCGGGGAAATATTGGCATGCCATTTCACAAAAAGTCCGATTTTGTGTCAAAATACGTATTTCAGAACAGCGCTTTATATAAATCTAGTTATATATCCCAACTTGGGTGTAGCTAGGATTGGAACTAGAGTGATGCAAATAATTTTAGATTCAGAAATTAAACTGGACTAGAATACGCGAGCCATTGTAGGGTGGAAAGACAGTTGAGCACTAGTAAACCGGCTTAAGAGTTCGAATTCACTGCAGTGAATTGGCTACAACGACATCCCTTCCCTTAGGCAAACAGATGTAACTGAATAATCACATGCTTTGCCCTAATGGAATAAACGAGTAAATAAGAATGGACTCGAATACATGAGTAAGCAAACTGAAGTTTAAGAAATAGAAATGATGAGGTTAAGAATTTTTTTTTTTTTTTAGTTTTTTAACTTACAGTATAACAATTGTAATCTTGTCTGCCCTAGATTTCTCTATAACTTTCTACCTATTTCGAGATTTTTCTCTTGAACTAGATTTCGATGTACACTCAACATACGTTAATCATCCAAACGATCATCAATCCCTGTTGAACGCAACAAATTTTTATTCTTTTTAAAGTACGTACTACCCGTGGTACTTGGCTCAGACAAAGAAATAAGACCATGCTTTGTTTTGAGGAAGGAAAAAAAATCATTGTCTCTTCTTTTAAGAAGTCTTCCAGTGTTAGCTCTTTAATGTTTTCAGTATGTCCTTACTATATCTAAAAATTGTGCCAAATTCTATCCCAGTCATGAAGCTTAATAGTCACGAAACACTGCACCTTTTGCTAAACTTTTCATCTGACATGTTTAACATCGATCATAGACCAATAACCGTAAAAAATGCTGATAAACTGCCGCTGGAAAAATTTTTCCCATCTAGTAATATTTTAAAGAACGCAAATGTATAATTATTAGACATCTTTTCTAAAATTTCACACACATACAATGTGATTTAAACACACCTGGCAAAAATGTAAAGGCAGATTTTGTGACGGAATGTGTGCGTTGAAACAGCGCTTTGAGGTGATACAGGCTGCTGTTGAGAGGTAAGTAAAAGAAATTTGCTTTCGAAAACTGTAATTCACTGTGCGGGTTTCGAGCGTATGCATCCCTACATGAACAGGAATATAGGTAATATAAATTTTATCTATAGCGCTGCTACTAAGGAAGTAACAGCGAAATATTTCAGAGCACCTCTTTTGAGTAATTGCTACATTTCCGTCTATGGCCTCGTAAATAAAATGTATATCGGCAAGCTCCAAGCTCGTGCAGCAATGCATCCCACTTTAAATCCGCACGAGAATTAACAATTTACGCCAGTGGAGGTTTTACCTACAACTCAACAACGTTGTGTACCACTCCCATGCGATATTTCGGAGCACACATTCCTTTATAAATTTTTTTTTATTTAAATCCCGTCTACCTGCTTTTACATTTTTGCTAGATATTTTTTATTCATCCTATATATACTATATGTGTAATATAAAGTTTAGTGAACGATCAGCTTTAGTCTTTGTTTGATAGCAATATGTCTCTTTAAAATTATCTTTATTTTTGGTGGCAATTAAAGCACATAAAATATTTTAAGCTGATGTTTTATCAGTCTTATTCAATAAGCGTTTTCTAGTTTGTATTTATAATTTTCTGTGGTGGAAACTTGGAAGAAAATTTCTTCAGAAAATGTATGAGCCTCCTTCATGCAGTCGAGATGACAACAGTTTGGCGGGATATGGGCTGTCCGTCAGCTGCAGAGAGATGCGACAACAGCTGTACTGCTGTTAGTGATTTACGGCGTGTTGCACATAGCAAAGGAAGCGATCGTCTTCTATGGTGGTAATTCTCTGGTCATCCAGACCTACGTCTTCTACAGGGATTTTTGATCCCTTTGGTAATGATTAGCCTGTTGATGACACTACGATGCACATTTCTCTCTCGCAGTAGCGGATTGTCTTGTACCAGCTTGCAATACCCGTCAGTCCTCCAACGCATTTCATTGTGGAAATGGTGTCTTCGGCTCATGCTTTCCGATTTGGCTATCGCGGATTTCACGGAACTATTCGCTGCTTGCAGTCTGACGCGTATGTCTGGCATGCTCCTTTTAATTTTTTTTTGGGTGGGCGTGACTGACGGCTTGCGTTTTATGCTAATTTTGGTTGCCTATTAACGTTTCGCGATACAACCTCTGCCTCACATGTAAATTGTATGTTTGAATCCCCTTTTTAAATTCGTACCAATACGTTCAGCCTTTGTTGCTTATTTTTTTAGTGTGAGTATATTATTGGAAGGCTTCTCTGAAGTAACATTTCGAAAAGGCATTCGAAAAGATGAGCTTATTGAAAGACATAATAATATTCGTAAACAATTTCTTACAGTGGTCAGTCAAAACACCCACCTTGACATCATACAGATTTTTAAAGCGATAACATTTCGCAAAAGTGGTTAGTCATTCGATGCCATCAGAATCCCTTTAATAGCCTGAATACTGAGAAATATTTTAGGATTTGTAACATGTTATTTATGGATAGATGGCAAAGAGTTGAGGAAGACAATATCGAAACATTTGCGACCTTAGCTGTCAGTTAAGAATTTTTTCATATCATTGCATTAATGCAAAATTTTTGCTTTTAACTTTTCATCTTTTCAAAAATCTTCATTTTTCCGGATTATTGTTTATTATAGAGTATTACTTAATTATTTATTTTAGAGCAGAGGATCTCAACCTTTTGACTAACGCGTACCATCTAAACAAAAATTGAAAACCTTTAGTACCACCACTACAAAGTACTACCACCACCACCACTCTTGAACAAAGCTCAGATCGCATAAATTTACGAGTGTTAGAGAAAAAATCAGGATGTTGGAGTTTTAATTTTTGAATTGAATAGTTAAAAATAATTTGCTTCTTTTTGCGTACCACTTATTTTTCTCTTGCGTACCACCAGTGGTACGCATACGACTGGCTGAGGACCCCTGTTTTAGAGTATTCAGTTATAGTTTATTATAGAGTGTGGTGGTATATTTAATTTAACTAACAGTTAATTTTCAGTTAAAGCAACCTTTCTTCTAGTCTCATTTTCACCCACGCTTTCTTACCAGAATGTTAATAAGCTAACACGCGTGCATTGAAATGAGGAAGAAAGAAGTACATAGTATTTGACGGAAAGTTTGTGAAGGTGATTTTAGAGCGTGTTATGCCTTCTTGATGTGAAGGTGATTTTAGAGTGTGTTATGCCTACTTGAGGGCCACGATACTATCTTGACTTACTGGCGATTAGATTTCCATGGCGATGAGGGCTTCTAGCCATTAAGCTGGTTTATACCAACTTCTACAAGTCAGAGCTTTCCTGCACGTTAAATTATCCTGTAAGCCATTAGGATAAACTTACTGCATTTTATTTTAATTTCATCGTTACCTGTTTTGAGTTAAGCCAGAAGTGTTGGCTTGTGTACGCCCAAGTGAGCCCATCTGTGAAATGATATTGAGTGAATAAAGGGTTCTTTACATACTTCATACACTTTTGCCGTCATTAAGACCTGAGGATAATTCCTCATATGCAGTCTTTTAAAGCTCGTTAAATTAGACTCTATAAGAGTATTTCATAATCACACATTATTGAGCACTATTATTATGTATTTTTATCATTAATTACACAGTGTAAACATTTACTTTATGTTAGTTGTTATATGATAGATAATTTATTTTTTATGCAATATTTTCAGAATTTTTTTTAATTCCATGTCTTTATAGGTGAAATAATCATTAACAAATATCCATTCAATGTTAACACCGTATTTGTTAATCTAAATAGTTGCAGACTATACGATTCAAAACGTTACATATTTATAGACGAAAAATACTACGTTTCAGAAGTAATCATTATTTTGTCTCTTTTTTTGCGACCGTCACTCGTTTAAGAAAGAATTTATACCATTTCTTCATGAACATTTCATCATTTGTAGTGGATGTTTTCTGCTGTCTGATGTACAACGTTGTCAATTCTAATATTATCTTCGTTTCGACGTAATTATGCTTGGTTTTCGTCCTTTTGTTTGTGGACGTAACGTGGCTTTCTTATTTAACTAAGTGCTTGCTTTCTCAAAAACTTCCCCATTCGTTGGAGGACTCCTCTAATGTTCTTGCTGAAACCGAAATTATAAGCCAACGTCAGGTGACTAATTTGTAAGTTTTCTATGCTTTGAGCATGTTGAAAGGGTTTTCTCTGATACACAATGCGTGTGCAAACTTTTCCCGATATCAGTCGTTTACCGCAGTGATTATTAGACGAAGTTCATAACAGATCATTTTCACTCATTTCGCTCTTGTACGTATTTTTGTTTCCATTGTTACTATAACTGCGTTTACATTTTCATTAATTTTGACAGAGGTTTTTTTCAAAGACTAAATTTTAGTAACTCGAAGAAATAAATGAAAGAGTCATGAAGTTCGCACAATACAACTAAAGCTCATCTGAAGACAGCTCTGGATAAAAAGCTCATTTTTAGTTTTTCAGCTTTTTTAGCTTGGGTTCAGATCATGCTGATTAAAGCGAGGCTCGATAAAGGACGACTACGCGTAGAAGTTTTATCATTGCTGTGCATGCAAAAATAATGAACAAATAAATATTTCTGCAAGCGATGCTGTGCAAATAGAACCTATGCCAGAGGCTGAATCTGTTTGTATATCGTCTTTTTGAATATTATCTGTTTGCTTATCATGAATTTATTTTAACACTTGAGGATAATCTCAAATGTGTCATCTATTTAAATGGTTTTATTTATTATGCTTTACTTTTGCGCGTTCTGTCACATCTGCCTCAAGCCTAATCCTCCCCACCTTTAAGCGCCTCTGCTGTTAGGTACATATCTCCTTTGATAAATATATTGATTAAAATTTGCTGCATAGTAAAAGAGATATCTTGAAATGAATCAATGTTTCAGTCAACTACGAAATCTTTTGCATTGGTTAAATTTTGTCAAGTGAATTATCTATGAAGAAATTTACTAAGCACTAACTTACTAAGCAATATTCTACGAAAATACTTTTAATGTAGAAAATAACGTAGTTATTTATGGAACATTATGAGTTTTTAATTTTATGTTTTTATATCTAAAATTTTGGTTTGTAGAGACATTAGGTATTTTTTGGAAACAGGCAAAATGAAAAATTAGCAGACACCTTAGCCGGGAATCGAACCACGGACCTCTGGAATGCCGGCCCCAGCGTGCAGAACCACTACACCACGAAGGCACTCTAGGAAGGCGTGAGAAATACCTTATATACTCCCCCTTTTAAAAGGCGACTGGGGTTTTTTAGGGGACCCAATCGCCAAATCCTGGGTGCGGAGAGTCATCAACCACAACCCTTTTAGTTCGGGCGCCACTGTAGAGACATTAGGTATTTTTTGGGAGCAGGCAAGATGAAAAATTAGCAAAAGCCTTCGCCGGGAATCGAACCACGGACCTCTGGAATATCGGTCCAGCGTGCAGAACCAGTACACCACGAAGGCACGCTGGGAAGGCGGGAGAAATACCTTATAGGTTTCATAAATTGACGCATTTAAATTCCAGTGCTGTTAATTTTATTATGCCTTTTTACATAACATTTCATTCAAGAAGCATTGATTCAATAATTTAGAGGTGAAAACTGCAATAGGAATTAGTTTTGATATATTATGAGAAGCCGTATCATTTATTTCACGTGGTTTAAATGTAAACATAAAGCTGAAAGAAACTTTTTTAAGATTATTATTGTTATTTTTGGAAATTCTGTACAAAAATAAGATTTTTGTCAAAAATGGTGTCTTCAAAAATGAGCTATTTCTATTTTTTTCTTTTTTTTGTGAGTGAAAATAAGCCTATTCTGTGGGTCGCAAGAAAAAGAAAAGAGAAAGAAAAATATCGTAACTTTCTTTAACAATTGTATATTTTTTTAATTTCCAGTTGCGGTGGCAATATCCTAATTAATATAGGACCTACTCACGATGGACGCATCATACCGATATTTGAAGAGAGATTACGACAGTTGGGATCATGGCTTCAAACGAATGGCGAAGCTATATATGGAACTCGTCCATGGAAAGCCCAGAATGATACGCTAACCCCAGGAGTTTGGTAAGTTCAGAAAGTTATGTAGCAAGAAGTGAAAGCTTAGATATTTAAATTGTACCACAATTATTAAGATGCTTTTATTTCAGATGTAATCGTGTTTTATTTCAGAGCTTTCTTATCATTATATTCAGAATTTATGAAAGGATATAAAACGTACATAGTAAATACAGTTTTGAAAACCTTTTGGATAAAGAAAATCATTGGTTGGTTTTATAGATTTTGGTTATTTTTTGCACATTTTAATTTTAATGAAGGCATTTTTTCAGAAAAATTCAATTTTTTTAATTGTACGTTTACGTCCTTGATTGGTATATTGGTTAGCCTTACTGGTTATCGTTATCTATGGGCTCATTTCGAACACTGGAGAACGTTTAGATGCTTGCGAATTTAATAGTGTCTTTGCAGTATAGGGGCACTTGAAATAGAGCCAAAAGTCTTCGGGACTGGTTTGGTGGTAGAAGAGGGGTGGGAGACCTTTGAATAAGTCACGCAAAGAGTTTTCTCCTTGAAAACTGGAAACGAACTGGAAAAGTCGCAGGTGCTCAAGGGCCATGGCAGAGATAGATGCAATCTTATCCCTCTCACTTTTTGTAATGTTGCTGTCAGAGAAGTGAGGTAACTTACAACAACCTGTGTATTTTTTGCTTCTCTGGCTCTTACTATTTTGTTCTGCATTTACTTAACATGTGAGAGTAAATGATCTGATCTAAAGCGGTTTAAATTGCAAGTTTTTAAATTAACTAATCGGCTTTTGCTTTGACTTTTATCTCCATTTATCCACAGTGATCAGTTAGTGCGTTTGTTGCGATTTATAACCGAGGGTACTCGGACTTCGAGGAAATACAATCCATATTCCTAATTTACTAGTTTACTGTGCTGGTTAGTGCAGCGACTGACTTCATAACATCTGTAACCCTATATATGCTAAGGAATGTGGAGTTCAGGGAGTGTCTGAGTAATCAGCAAGACTCTATTTTTTTCAGCATTTGTAGCAATTATGTTCATCCAGTTATTCTTTTACGGGAAGTTGAAGGAGTGCCTGAGTAATCCGTCAGGTTCTATTTTTGGTAAAATCTGTAATCATTATGCTCATCAGTCCCTCTTACTTACTCTTCTTACTTTTACCAAGGTTTTTTAATATATTACGAGAGGAATGAAATGAGTAATCAGCGAACCTCTAATTTTCATGATACAAGAATTTCGTAAGAAGGCCTTTTTATTGTATGTGAAGCACATTCTTATAATGTGCCGAAGAAATAACAACTTGAATGTATGCATATTTTTAGAAACGCCAACAGAAGACTTCAGATTATATTTGACAAGTATAAATTTAGAAATGCTATTCTGAAGTTTGCATTTAAGAAAAAAATCTGATGTGTACACCACATGACTTCCTTGTACGGAATATTAAATTATACGCATTTTTTCTTGCATTTCATTTAACTTATTAGATTGAATTAAACCTACTTCGCCGACAGCGCATGCATTCTTTAAAATTCACTTTGTTTACCATAGCGACACTCTGGCGCTAGGTTCACTTAATAGTATTATATTTCGTTCATATTATAACTCAGAATGCACAAAATTTATATCATTTAAAGAATTATCTATATCATTGCCACATGTTCTATTCAAATACTATAACAAAGCTAGAACTATGTATAAAAGAAATTAAGCAAACAAAACGAAAAAGAAACAGTTTTTCTCAGGCGATTGAATATTTCTCATTCAATTAATTCAGTTTTCACTTCGCGACAAGGCAAAAATACATAAAAACTCAAAATATCTGTATTAAAAATTACGAAGTAAATCTTAAATACTTATTTCCTCGAAAAAATTCCAGAAAGGATTAAGCATGATTTACTTCGCAATAATAAATGAAGGCGTTATTTTTGTGTTGCGAAGCTTAGTGTCTCTAGATTGGCAACAAATCTACAATTCTGCTGTTTCAAATATAAACAAATATATCCGCCATGTTGTTTAAAACTTAACCGCACTTAAACAGCTTTTAAATTGTTGATAATTGTACAAATATTGCTTCCAGAATTACAAAAGGCATAAAAAACTTTAATCGGAAGATAAAAACAACATAATTCAATCATTTTTAAAGCAAAAAATATGTACAATTTACAAACATATAAGAGTAAAGAAACTGAGATTACTGAGCCGGGTAACAGAGTGGATATATTTATAAATATATTTACATACGTTTGGAGCGGCCGATCGAAACCAAAATACGAGGTGCACATCTACATGTTATAGTAGTCTTATATACAAAATTTCAACGTTCTGAGGCTACTCGTTTTTGACTTATGCGAGATACGTACGTACGTACTTTCGTACGCGGGTACGTACATACGTTCGTACAGACGCCACGAAAAATTCTCTTCAGAATTCATTTTAAAGCAGTTTTTTAGTTTTTTTTGGAGGAAAAGAGTCTTTTATTCTGTCCTTACGTAGAGATATTACGCAAAAACATCGTTAAATTGCATTCGAAAGTGGTCAAGGTGGATATTTTCGTTAAAATATGCTGCCTGAAGCTTTTCCCGATAACAATACTTCCTTTTTACTTCGTACAAGGAAGTAAAAAAGGAAATGATCTAAAAGTTTCATACACTTTTAGCTTAGCTTACAAAACTGGTTCCTTTCTGATGACGTTTTAAATCAAAAGAGAGAAGTAAACCAAGGCGATCTTGAGATGTGCGTTTACTCAAGATGGCCTTGAGTAAACGCACACAGGAACACACGTGCGAAATAGTCGTAAACACTACGATTTGACTTCATCCAGGTTTGAATCAGAAACTCTAAAAGTATGTCAAAGTATTAAAAATTACAATTTTAACTATTTTTTATCAAACTGGCTTTGGCCATCCGTCAATAGAGGCAAAACATAAAATTCATTTATCACAAAAATTCTCAATCCAAATTTATTCCAAAAATAGCGAAATTTATTTATTTATTGTCGGTAAGAATACTATTTGATAATTTGGATATTATTCAGTAAATCCTTTAATTCTTCTAATCTTAACCTCCATTTCTTAACTCGCTAAACGCAGTATAGAGAATTTTTTGTCATCACAGAGGGCCGTTGATTAACTTTTAATATAGACCGACGAAGAAACTAATTAAAAACCTGCAACTCGTGGGCAGTAATAAAGACTAATTACTATTTAAAGCTCCCCTGCGGCTTTCAGAAAGCAGAATGTCAATTACATTTTCAATATCCGACATTCTTACTGCATACAGAAATACTGCTTCAGACAAACGAGTTCGTTAACTTAATTAAGAAAAATTCTTGCTGTATCTATTAATAATAAATCGAATTAACTAATTATTACGACTCCTGTCTCTGCTCCAATTTTTATTACATTCCAAATCAATCAAGTGGCGAACGCAAGTACTGCATCTTCTTAAGAGATGAGGTAAATTTTAAAAAATCGAATTTGTTTTACACTTTTAAATTAAATTCGATATTTTACAAGCATTTTGAAATAAACCTCGAGTAAAAATTCACTCCATGAAAACGTTGTAGTAAAATTTAAAGGGCTCGATGGTTTATTTACACTATCATGCTAGTGAATTCACGTATGAAATCCTCCGAACTACATATAAAATGCTTCTGTATAAATTTTACGCAAACAGTATGCAGGTATACTTGATAGAAAAAAATCGACTTATTATCATATGCATCTCTATATTTATTAGTTTTAGAAAGAAGTGAGTTCACAAATATACAAAGTAATTAATTCCTCAACCAAAGATTTCATAAAAATGCGAGTGCATGGTTTCTGTGAAATGGCTGAGTAGAATTTCTAGGTATTTGGATTAATAATGTACAAATTGTATTTGTATAAAACTGCTCAATTACTGTACTCTGTCGTTAGAATTTGTAAAACTGTGATTAAATTTGAAAATCGTATAAAAATTTCGGCTCCTCAGTTTTTATTGTCTCAATTCCAATCGTAGCAATTATGCACGTTACACAATTGACTTACTTAATCACCATTCACCACAACTATGATAATACTTTTTAAATATACAATTATGCGTACTTACGAACTCTAATTTATAAACACATTTTTGCATTTCTTTATGAATAAAATAATGCACATTTACAGTACATGAAGGTAATTCTTTAAATTAAAATTTCTCAAAGCTATAGTTTTCTAGCTTACGTGCAAAATTTCTCTGAATGCTCGCTTCAGAATGTCAAAAAATTTAGGCCAAGTGCATAAATTTTATGTGAGTATAAAATGACTTACTATTATGAATCTCTCATAAAAATTTAGAACTATCTTTAATTTCGTTTCGAAAACAAATCGCTTTTTCGTCGTTAAAAATGAAAAAAAAAATTATTTTTTAGGAAAATGTATCTCGATTGGTTTTAAAGTAGGTTATTTTAATTATACATAATTTTTGTAATTTGGGAAAAAATCAGCTGAGAATAATGATTTGTCTACCTATGATTCCGCGTGGACTATGTACTACAATTTTAACTCGATGACGAAGGAGGTAGTTTACTTTTATTTTATCTTAAATAATTTAATATTTAATACATAAAAGAAGAGAGCAAATACAATATCAAAAGTTATTGAAATAAATCTACCAAAATTTGACGATCACGAACGAGTTACTTATAGAGACATTGAGCTATAATATGTAATAAGTGATCTTTACTTAATATGTTTCACAAACAATAATCACTTAACACATGGACTGTATTCCTTCACTTTTATTTCATTACACTAATTATAAATAAGATGTCAGCGATGCGAAATAATTGATACAAAATAAGCGAGTCATTCTACATGGCTGTCACAAACACAATTCTATCAATAAATTATCTTGTTGCCACACATAAAGTTCAAAACTAAAGGAAGAAAAACAAAAGAAATTTACGCTGTTTTCAACAATAAAATGAAGCAAACGATACTCACATAAACAATATGTGTTGTAATGTTTCGAACTATTTTGCCTATGCTTGACTTCGTAGAAACCTAGTTGAACTATGCAGCGACTTCACACTGAGTCCAAGTGTGTAAATTAGAAAGTCCAGAGAAGGGCTAAACTCACCCTTTATTATCTCAAACTAAGAATACAGATGGTTTTTTTCTCGGGATTACAGAAAAGCCTCCACTTGAGCTTTAACTCAAGATAAGAAAATAAGGGACTAATCTCTAATACTAGAGTAAACTGAACTTAGTCGAAGCTATACATAATTATCTAACGCAATTGGCCTTAATTAAATTAAGCGGCGAATATCAGCAAGCACGTTCAGTACGGCCGAGCGTAGTACGCTTTAAACAAAGAAGTAGCCTGACGGCAAATACGCGACACTAAGGATTCCTAAGCTCTTCTGCAAATTCGAAAAGAGGCGAAAGAGTATCGTAGATAAATCAAAATTAGTATATTAAACATAAAATACTACAATTAATTTCATGTAATTTTTATCGAGCCTAATTCTAAGTTTTAAGGCTAGTTATACGAACTATTTTTCTCTAAAACAGTAGATTGTGGCTCCTAAAGTCACGGAACTTTTAGTTGTGGTTTTGCTTTTAGATACTTGGATTAATGTGACGAATACAGCTAGCTCTGTGGAATCGAATTACAAAGTGCCAGAATTTCCTTTCCCGAGTTACCGAGATGGAAGGGATGCAGACTAAGACATTTAGCATTAAAATTTTAATGAGTCTCTGAACATTACAAACACTAATATGGAAGAATAAGAGTCTACTTGACGAAACTAAAATTCACATTTAAAGGATAATCCAAAAAGGAACTATAATTCACTACTTGACATCAAGCCAGGAATAAAAGCCTTAGCTGACAGATTTGAACATTAACTTTTCTCCTCGTTACATTCTCCAACATGAAAAATCAACGGCTACTGCTTCCAGTCTCCCATTCCATGATCTGCCACGCTTATGATCAGACTCCAACTCGGGCGAAAACAGACATACAACATAAGACAACTGCAGGCTATCGACCGACTGACCGACTAGAGGTTCTAGTTAATTGCTTAAGTCCGTACTCTCTTCTTCTCAAAATCTGTATAACCTTCTGGGGGGGGACGATCTTGTGACTAAGTTCGAAGTGGTAGAACAATATGCGAACTCATACATTCAGTTAGGTACTGATGGCAATAATTTGCCCAAGTAATATACGTTAGACAATGAGGAAAGCTAAATTTAAGCCAAACCTTGTAACCCTTTTTTTATTTTTATTTTAGGTATACTTCCAAAGGATCAACTGTATATACTATAGTCTTGAACTGGCCTAAGAAAAGTGTGCTGAATCTGGGATCACTGCAGTTAAACAGTGGTGACGAAGTGTCCATGCTGGGCTATCCCTCTCCCCTCTCTTTCGAATCATCCGGCAAAATCGTTTCGATCACTTTCCCAGCATTAACTCCTGACATTATTGCAAGTAAATGGGCTTGGGTGCTGAAAGTAACGAAACAAAATTACCGAAGTAATAACATCCGTTAATGTAAAATGCAATGCTTACAAATTTTTAATTAATGTATGATTGTTGCAATGTCTGGAGATATGTGTTAAAATTTTGTTATGTAAATTTATCTAATGAAAATAAATTTTCCCTGTAACTAAATGGTTAGATGAGGCTCAAATGTCTTTCAGAATATATGCGTATTTTCTTATTTTTACTAATTTGTAATTCAGAAACAGTAGAAAATTTGTAGATTAATTTGCTCTGTTTTTTCGCAGCGATTAATATATGAAGCATAAACACTTTCAAGTTTATCTCAGATCAGTCCACATACAAAGTATTTGGAGGAAATTAAGTCTTTTTGTTAGTTTTAGGATGTATTAAACGTATTTTCGTTACGTTTTTGATCAACTTTAGAAGAACTGGCTTTGGATTAATTGCGAATCGACGAAATGCATCAAGGCCAGATTTTGGCGGCCATTAGATGGACAGTCCGTATATGCTTAGTGCGCCAACCTCTCAATGTCAGTTACCAATTCTTCAAGCTTTCCGTGATTTTCTGCAGGCGAGTTTTCAACTGCAGGCAGCTACAGTTCTTTACGCATTTTCCCCCCTAATCTCAATTTCAGCGCATTCGAGAGAGAGTTGAACCTATTACTTTTGTGACAGATTTTTCACCAAAGGAAGAAATAAAATATTAAAACAGAAACACCACAAACCGAAGAAGTGTTGGAAGAACGCAGTATTTTTATCAAACCTTTCGTATTGTGATAATTATTTATTATAATTGGATCATTTAATATAGTAAACTAAATTTATTATAATGTGATTATTTTTCCAATGTAATAGATACAAAGGCAACAAGATTGTTAATAAAAAATCCAGCTCTTGAATAGCAGATCTGCTTCTGAATTTATGTATCAGTATCCTAATGATCGTTTGCTTTTACGTTGTTGAGATTACAATAATCTTCACAGAAACTTTCTGGAGTTAACACAAGGATGTTTTGGAAAAAAAAAGATTGTAATATAGTAAATCTGTATGGTAATGCGATCGAAATGAGGAATAAATTTTCTTTAAGAACTTTCAGTGATGTCTGTTAGTTTCTAAGAGTTACAGTGGTTCAGCAGTTACTTTTAATTATTTGTAGGAAGTAAAGGAAGTATTGTAATTGAGAAAATTTCAGGTATCGTATTTCAACGGAAATATCCATTTTAACAGTTCCGATCCGTTAGACGATTTGTTTGCGTGCTCTCTGTAGGTACGGACAGGAAAAAAAGGACTTCTTTATATATATATATATATATATATATATATTTTATATAATTATTTCCTAAACAGTATTGATTAATTGATTATATTATCTCCTAAGTTTAATTAAAGTAGAATTATTTTAAAAAGTGTGCATCCATACTGGTAAGTTATATTTTGAAAGATGTTTTGAAGTAATTTGAAAGCAAAATGTTAATAATGTTTTAACGGGGACTGGAGTTAAATCATCACGAAGAATAATATTACAATTGTAAAAGGAAAAAATTAAAATGTAATTATTGTCATTGATCGGAAATTAGTTGACTTTTCAAGGGGAACAAACCAACTCCCGTTCAATGAACAATAATTGATAAAAAAAATACGTAAATATGAAAGTGTTTTCGTCTTTACTCGAGTTATAAGTTAAAGCCAAACCGGCAATTCTAGTCAGGCCTAAATATTTCCGCGAATAGTTGCTACTCAAAGAACTTATTCTCATGAAGCATTTTAGTCAATTCAATTTGGAGTAAAAATCAATTACTGTAGAGAAAGAAATCCTGTAAAACTCGAGTAACCGTCCCCGACACTATCATCTTTATGTATTTGAGTACTATATTATTTGTAGAAATTAAACATTGGAAATTGTCATTATGAAATCGAAATCAAAGTAAAGTTGAAATAAACATAGAAGATTATAAAAAAGATAAATAATGCAAACTTTGTAAAAACAAATCAAAGAAAAAAAACAATAAAAATAATATAAAATAAATATAGAAAATAATATAAATAAGATCAGTGAATGTACATGAAGATATAAAGGCCAGAAAGGTATTAAGTAACTTACATTCTTTCTAGTGGGGGAGTTGGCAAAGTGTTCTCTTCGTGTCTGACTCAGAAGTGTAGGGTGTCCGAAAATTCTTAGCGGCAGTAGGGGCTTTGAATAATATCAGTCGGTAAGACTTGGGTGAAGTAATTTATGGTAGTGGGTGGGACTTGGAATTCTTGAGGGATGTATTTTGTGGAGTTCTTATCTGAGAGAGACCGTCTGTTAAGATTTTTTTGAAAATACTAGTGAATGGAAATTAATTAATTTCTGGCTAATTGTCGTGTCGCAATGATTAAGAATTTAAGAAAGGAAAAAGGCATTTTCGCTGTCCAAGAGCTAGTAGACAGTCTAAAGGCAGGAAATAGGCCCATTTTTTTAGTAACAGTATAGTAACAGTATATGTCTGAAGACAATTAAGTAATTACACTATATACAAATCTTTCAACTGACAGTCATCCAACTTATACCGCCTTCTCAGGTTTAGGAATAAATTATCATATCCCTATCAGTTAAATGATTTAGAGTGAGTATTTAACGCCTGCTCTTTTTTAAGGCAATGGTTGATAAATTGAAAGGGAATTAGATTATTTTTGAGAATTTTGATAAGGATCAAAATTTCACGTTGTAAATCTATTGTATCTGTGCATATAATTTTAATTCGTTGAATTCGTTTTAATTCGTTTATTCTTTATATATATATATATATATATATATATAATATAAAGAAAAAAATTAACTGAAGAATAATAATAATTAGGCATATTAATAAGAATAATATGCCTTTCTTGCATAAATTAATAAATTCTTCCTCCGCTTTTGTAATCACTCATTTAAATGTACCAGATATTTTTAATCCAGAATATAATTACGAATGAAGGGTTTTATGGATTTAGTTTGCCCACCGAAGACTAAGCGGTTAAGATTGCTGAATATTAGTAATTCGATCCAGTTCAAATTCCGACAAACGAATTGACTGCTTGAGAGATTTCGTGATTTTCTTTATATATATCGCGGATACGATGTAATTTCTTTTGAAAGGTTTCTACGAAAGCATCCTTCTTCTTAGACCAGGATTTCCAACGGTGCTCTTTTTTTATCATTGAACGTCGATGAAATTTTAAAAGGGATACCTGATATGATAATACCTAAAATACCCGAATATACTTCGGCAGCTTCTTATGAAGAAGCACCAGTGATGGCCATAAATTTTTCGATATCGAAGACTCTTTAGCATTTCTCAAAATATCGACGCTTAGATAATAATGTAAAAATATCGAAGCTTTTCAGGCTATCTCAAAATTAATATGCGTAGAGTTTGGACTTCTCACTGTTATTTGCGCAAGTAGCACTTAGTTGCAAAGTATATTATGGAGGAACTTCATACTTTTTTAAACTATAAATACTGTGAAAGCTAAAGTTTTGAATAACCGTCTTTTTGCGGAACTGTGTGACTATTACAATTTGCTATTTCACATGGATGTACGCTGGTTCTTCAAAACTATTAATTTCTAATTAACTATTAATTTCGAATCGACGAAATGCATCAAGGCCAGATTTTCGCAGCGTTTTACGTATAATAGATTTATTTTTTCTCTTGAAGCTGACAATCATGTTAATAAGTCGAAGCTAGTTAATTCGGTTTTCGTTCTGAATCTGACTTACTTATGTCGACACTGTACCGGAAAGAATTGCATTAATTTGATAATTTAATGCGATTATCCGTTATTGCGAAGGATTTATTCCCTCAGAAGATATATTGTTATATACAAGCTATTGGCGCAACTTACAAGAACATCCTAATGTTTGCTTTAAAGACAAAGAAAATATGAATGTGCTCACATCATCATAGAACCATTAAACTGCGATGTATCTGATCTTGATATCATGATGCAAGAAATGTTGATTACACTGAAGGAGAAAGAGCACGAGCCTAATTCAAAACACATGGGCATGCTAAATTTTGGAGAAGTCATCTAATAGGAAATACTATAAAATAAGCGTTGTTACTGAACTGGCAGTATTAACTTTACACTCTTTTTCCCTGATAGAAACGAGCCTACGGCCGAGAGTAAAGTCGCTGAACACTGGTAATTCGATCTGGGGTTCAAATTCCGGTAAACGAGCTAACTGCATGAACGTTTTTTTTTGTGGATTTCTCCATGTGTAACGTGTATATGAGTCAGTTCTCCTTAGACATTTTTTCACAAAGGCATCCCTTCGCTTAGATAGATAGCCCTCGAGTGCTTTGTCACAATCAAATAAACTAAATCTTAATAGAAGCAAACTTCAGTCAAGTCAATAGTTTATTACGGAAACAAAAAATAAACGAGTTGTAATTTAAAAATTAAGTTAAGCATAATTAGGAAATTATTAAAATAATTGCATTAATACATGAAGCGCCGCCATCACTTTAATTAAAATCTAATTTTCATGTAGTTAGAATCTTTGATTTCGTGCCTGAAAACTTATCTATGTTTTTAAAATAAAAAAAAAAAAAATAAAAAAAAAAAATAAAAAAAATAAAAAACATAATAAAGTTAAACCTAACACTTGCTCTTCATATTTTTAGCCTAATAGTTATCTTTAACTTATTTATGTACAGATTCTTTTATTATGAGATATTACTTATAAATAATTTTAGAGAAATTATATGTGAAATTTTAGTATTTTTTTGCATAATGTAATATGAAAGTCTAAAGAAGCGCAACTTTGCAAGAAAAGAGGGAGTACAGGGGCAAGTCAATTTAACATTTAATAAATGACTGTTTCGCTAAATTGGCGAGATACCGCCAAGCCGGCGATGGTTCTGAAAACTAAATATTGTCACCAAATTTAGCAAGAAAGAAAAATCGCCGAAAGTCGTCAAAATGAACGACAGTTTAGCTACATTTTGGTCCCGTCCCTAAATTAACCGCAGTAGGTAATGTAACTGAATAATTGTTTTTGATTTTACTTGCAACTGTAACCGTATCCAGGCCTCATATGTCTTCAAGTAATTTCCAGAAGTCTTCGAGACATTTCTCGGCGGCCGGGTGAAAGTGATATAAAACCGGAGAGAGTATCTGCTCTCATTTGTTATTTATTTTGTTCAGCGCGGTTCGATGCATAGAGATATCTCCGTGTTAGCTTCGCTCTTTAGATGGCCTTTGCATTGCATTGTGTTTAACGTTCTTAGTTGTTTCAAGTGCAACTACTGATTGTGCTCTGTGATACTGTGAAGTGTTGCATGAATATTTTTGTGGGAATTTCCAGAATTGTGAAGTGCTTCTTTGGTATAATGAATTTTAAGAAACTAATCATCGGTTCTGTGTGCATTCAATCTATTACGAACCCTTATTTTTTTTGCTCGCAGCAATATTATGATCTTGTTGGATGCCGTACATTACAGGGATATAGGATTGAAAATGTTCCGGAATCCTTAAGACACAAATAACCTTAGTGAATTTTGAATTAACTTAACCCAACGAAATCAGGTCAGAAATGGACATCTGGTAACACTATGTTTATGACCACAAAGTCGCCGCAAGCGAGAGTGTCTTTATCGGAGATTTGCAGCATTTTTAAAGGCTAATTGTAGAATACATTTTCTTTCTAAACTTCTATCTTCGTGATGATAAAACGGATGTCACGTGAACCATACTGCAATAGTCTGAAAGGACTAATTTATTTGATTCATTTCTTAATAGAACCGTCAATCTACGAGCTAAAAGTTACTTGGTGTAATCGTTTTTAAATATCTTGCATATATTATATGGTTTTCAATGAATGTATGTTATGTGTAACTAATGAGTAAGAGCCTGCTCGTTTTACTTCCGTCGCGTTAACACTAAATGGTTGTTAAATACGTAGCAAATGATCACTTAGAATTGTGGTCAGACTGCATGGGAGCCGAATGTGCCATCTGAAAACAGCTGATGGACCAGATTTCTTTTCCTTACACAATGAAATATTTTATTAAAAATGTAAAAATATATAAGTAAATAAATAAAAAATGGATTTTAAGTTTGGCTTACTAAATATTTATCAAAGCATCAATAAACAGTAATAATAATATCGCAACGAAAAAAATGCAAATTTATGCATATTTGTTGTCTGAAATCTAAATTAACCTGTAAGATATTTTTGCTGATTACATTTTGTAATTCAACTAGAATGACAGTTAAATATTAAACTCTTAGCCTAATGTTTTTCAAGTAATTTGAATATGCTTAATTAAATATTAAATGATATACTCAGAATTTAGACTGCAAATAAACAGATTCTGAAAACTTTTCGAATTTTCAGAAAAAATTTACTAAGTGGGACAAAACTTGAGAATAATTAATGACAGTCCAGCCTCTTTTCTAGTTTATTAAGTTTTTCTTTGGAAATAAAAAAAATATATGTGTATATATAAATTATAAATTTCGTTAGTTTTTATAGCTTAACACTTGATAGCTTTTCGATTTTAGTAAAATTTGCAACCTTGGAGAAAAATTTCTAGAAATTATCTTCACCACGGATCGTAAATGATTATAGGTCAGTCGGGTTCGTTTCTTCTCAATTTTCAACTCTGAGAAAATGCTGCTCACGTATAAATGTATTCCCAAATGAGCGATATTCTTAGTGTAAAAATTCGTAACCGATTTATTTATTCGACAAATACAAATAAAAGTTAATAAAATATGTATCTTCATATCATTAAATAAGATTTATACCACATTTATAGATTTTCCGATCAGTTATTTACGTTTGATTTTAATGGAAATGAAGATAATATAAACACAGACTTCAATTAACTAAAATCTTGAAATCTCTGCGTACCGTATTTGCTACGAATATGTAATTGAAATGTCTTCGGGAGCGGCATAAAACTGCTTCGAGAGCCGCCAGTTTGAGACCATCGAGTTAGAAATCCAGTGAATTGTTTCATTTCCAAGTGTAAATTCGTGCATCTTATGAACCTAAACGTGTTACTTATAGATAAATAAAAACACGCATACGCAAAATTTCAGAAAGAGTGCTGACTACTATTAAAATAACACCGAACTGTTTATTTTAATACAAGAATATTAAACACAATTCCACCCATTCCAGGACATTAGTATAGAGATTTGTTCTGCTTAATAGCACACAGCTCAGAGCCAAGAACATGAGAAGCTGTTATTCTTCTACGTATTGATCCATGCACTCCTGAAAGATTAAATGAATAAATAAATAAATAAGTGAAGGAAAAATATAATTTAACAGTAACATTCGTTTATATACATATTGCAGCAATTTTCATTTCATTCAAATTTAAAAAAAATGTTTAAATTCATTCGACTGAGACATTTTATTTACGGCAACTTTGTATTATTTTATATTCTATCATATATTTTACAAGTTATTATAATATTTATACATTACAATTTTAAGAAACATTATTTTATGCATTTCGCAGAAATTTTCCGTTATATATTCAGTTTATTCTTCGTTTTATTTTAATTATATATATATGTTATTGTAATATTTGGAAACCATTTTATTCAAAAATAACTTTTTAATAATGATATACCGGAATAATAAAAGTGCTGCAATAAAAGTATAGTATTTACATACATAAATATACTGTCTATAATACATCGCTATGCATTTAGTAATGAGAACGCAGCGTAGATATTTTAATCCCTCGTTAAAAAAACACCTTTATTTGGAAGAATTCAGTTGTTATGCTCTACGTAAACCATTAACTTAAGCCATTAACTACGTAAACAATTAATCATCAAACAAATTAACCCAAATTTACACAGATTAAATAGCCAAACATTTCTTTAAATGGCAATCTCTTGCATATTTTTTTTTTTTTTTCGGATAAATCGAATTATAACTTCTAGGTAATCATTCTTATATATTCTTCTTGTAAATTATGGATATTTCCCTTTTAGTATGTTTTTGTATCCCCTTTAGTGCAACATTAAAAAGAAACATAAAAGTGCATGTAAGGAATATATAATAAATTGGCAAGTTCGTGGTTTTGATATGATGCTGATATTATTCACTAATTTAATTAATTAATTACTAAAATGACAAAATCATGATGTGAAAAGTGTTTGAAAATCCACGAAACACGCGCAGACAAAAAAAAAAAAAAAAAAAAAAAAAAAAAAAAAAAAAAGAGAAGGAAAAAAAAAAAGTAAATTACCTTTACTTTGTTTCTGGTTTCTTCGTCAAACTGAAAATAATAAAAAATTCATTGTTAAATTTCATTCGACTAAAACTTATAAAACTCTAATATGCATTAATTTAATATATATCCCTTTAAAAGAACGAAACATGACATTTTCTGTATTTAACTTCGTCAATAATTTATTAACTTTACAGGTAGAAGTTAATTTCTGCCAAAATACCATGGTCAGCGTTCATTAGAATGAGGCAATTTTAGCATTATTTTGACATGGAATTTTTCTAATTATCTTTTGGAAATTTTATTTCAGAAATGAACTTTCATAATTGCATTTAAGGAAAAAAAAAAAAAAAAAAAAAAAAAAACGAATAGCTTAAAATTTTATTACTTAAAATTAATATGATCTCATACATGTAATAGTGGTCTCATACATGATTCTCTGGTATGCTTTACTTAGTTAAACTAGCATATTTGACATAAATAACTAGACTTTGACCCATGTTAGAAATTGCTTTATTAATATTTTACTAATCAGGAAGGATACGAAATAGTAATTCCCACACCGATCGTGACAATTAATGCTTTTCACCTGTGGCTAATAAAGTGGCGCCATCTGTATATTGTAAAATGAGATAAATTAGAATCTTTATAGAGTAATAATGTGGAAGTTTTCTGTCTTACTCATCGAAATTTTCATACAGCGTTTCCAGAGCCTAAATTGCTTAGTAACCCACCTCGAGATAAATTATAATTTCAGCCGGAGCGCACCGTTAATCGTAAACATATCTTAAAAAATCAATTCAAACTTCTAAATGCAGACAGAGCATCGCAACCAGAAAGTTTTGAACTCTTCTCTCTTTATTTTCAAAGCTACACTTTTCCGTTAAATTTGTTTCCATATCCTCAAACTGTTTCTAGAATTCTCACTATACTCCTTAGTGGAGCTTTAATCGTTTCATCTTTTTGCTTGGTGTGGTGCAATAAAAGAGTGGTACTTGTCAATCCCTTGGAATAGGGTTTACTAATCAGGGTTTAACTTCCGACGGAGATCGTCTGCCCCAAATAAGACGAGGTCCGATGCCTTTTTATTTTATTTACCTATTTAAAATTAATTTAATAATTTATTAGATTTCTCTTTATTTATTAACATTTTTCTTATTTAAATTTATTATTTAATTAATTAATTTAATTTAAAAAAAAAAAAAAAAAAATAAAAAAAAAAAAAAAAAAAAAAAAAAAAAAAAAAAAAAAAATTAAAAAATATTTAATCTTGTTTTAAATGTATTATTTATTTATATTAATTTTAGCTTTTTTTTTTTTTTTCTTTTCTTCCTTACAGTTTTTCATAGGCTCCTTCACTTCTAATTTTAGAAATTAAGTCCTGAACGTTTTTTAAACTTTTTGTGAGTTTGACGAATACTTTCAAACAGTATGTTTTTCCTGAACCACTATATTTTTGTAATATTTTTCATCAGGAAATAAAATAACATTAAAAATTAGTTTTAAAATTTCTCTCGCGTATCACTCGCTGTTAATTCCTAAAACCCTATCCTAAGGATCCACGGTCCACAATTTAAGGATCTTTGCAAAAATTGATCTGTTTTTCTGTCTCCGTATATATTTACTTCCCTTATTTTCGTAACATAATTTTATTTCTAATTTACTAATGTGAGGCGATAAATTATAGGAAATAATAAATTTTCTTTCGAGCTAATACACAATAATATTTAAATCGTTGTAACTTAATCTTACAAGGGTACTATTAAGATGTCAGTGAAGAATATCTGGAACATAAATTTTACATACATGAATGTTTCAAAAATTAACCATGTTTCAGTATCCAAAAACTAAACAATAATTCAAAAAACTTTCTTCCATTTAGCGATAAAAAGCATCTCTTTGCCATATTACTCTGAACAGAAACATACACTCAGTTTAAAGCGAATCAAATAATTTACTTACACCCAGTTCTTCAGGATTCTCTCTTACATTTGTTATAACCTGAAAAGAACAAAATATTTTGATTGCGATTACTGCACGAAATACGTTAACATGTAGTAGCACACCAATTCAGTCACATAATTTGATATTTATTATCAGTGAATAAGTAAGTTAATGATGTATTTTTTTTTTTATATTTTTTAAAAGTTTTAATAAATTTAAACTAAGTAATAAGGTTTCTAAAAGTAGCAAACTTAAGAACCCAGAGTCGATTTATTGCTGTTTTTCTCAAACATAATTAATTGCCTCCTGCCAATGTTTATGTATTTAGATAAAGGAGGTAAAGTTTTCGGTGAGAAAATTCGATAGTTTGTGCTCAGTAAACAAGCGCGAATTAGGATCCCCATAACATGCTTTTTACTGTTTTTATAAGAATGTCTGACTGTTTGCGTCTTGTATGTAAGAATATGATTTCTGGAAGAAGAGAAACATATCGAAATTAAATGCATAAAAAAAAACATTTCCAGTTGCAGAATTTTAACTAAGGGAAAAATTAAGCTGTCATAATATTCTTACTTATCATATGCGACTAAAAATGAAACCGAGAAGCTGCAAACACCATTAATTCTCTTGATCTTTCAAATTCTGTTATTGTTCTAATGTAGTTCACATATGGGTGACATATGCGATTTTATTTTTAATCACGTATGACCAAGAGTAGTATGGTGCCATTATTCAGACTTTTCAGTGAGTATAATTAAAACCGTGTAATTAAATATTTTGCACATATAATAAATACATCAAATATCATATCAATGTTTACAAAAGTCCTTACCAAACCTTTTCTCAACCATTGATTTTAGTTACATACGTCCAATTACAAAAATGTTTAACGTGAATATTAACATTTTGGCAATCTCAAGTTAAAAAGGAAATTTTGGGCAAATTACGAAATCTAATTTTCTGTACGATCTGCTGTTTGCTATACTTATATTTAGGAAACTTTTATACTCATTATAAAAACTCAAATCCAAAACATTTGACTCCGTTTGACAAAGACGGAGATATTTAATATCAAAATTTGCGATTCTTGACCTCATTTTTATTTTACCTTGAGGGTTAGATTAACAAATAAATTAAAATAATTTTAGGTTATTTTTCTTCTTCAAATTCTACTCTTTGACATTCTTTATGAGTTACTAGGATATAACATTCTTTAAGTAATAGTTTTGTTACAATAGGTATGCCAAAATAATTTTCTCACGAGTAATTTGCAAGTTTTCAAACACTAAAGATACGTTATATCTATTCTCATGAAGGCTCATTACTTAGAATCATAATCTAATAGTCAGAGAAAAATTCATTGACTAGAAATAATTTCAATTTATATTGTTATACGTTATCACCGTCACGGGATGCCTACAGTGGGATGCATGGTCTGTCGTGTTTCCTACAACAGGAATTTTATAAGACTCTCCGAACAAGATCTCTTTTTTAAGAAACAATATGGCGATCAATACTTTTCACGATACTATGCAAAGAAATGCTCTTCATTTAACCTATTAACATCAAAACCATTTTCTGAACTGATATTTTATTTTTTGCATGCGAACCACACTCTTTGAATTGTATTTATGACTCAGTAGAACATTTTCTTAAGCATGTGTATAGGGAACAGCAGAGCGTATAAAAAGTTAGATTTTTGTAATTTTCAAAACATTTTTAATGATTTTTTTTCAGCTGGAATATTTGCGTTACCATAAACATTCCTGAAAATGAAAATATATGTCTAAACAAAATAAAGTTTTTTGTTAAATAAATTAAACGATTTAAAGAAAAAAAATAAAGCGATTTCGAAGGGAAAGGCTGGGTGAGTTCTTTTATGGACATGCTTCATGTAACAACTCAGAGACAGAAAATCACTGCGTCTGTATAAGGGTAGATTATTCTTTTCCATACAGCATTAACATTGCACTCAATTCATTTTACTGTGTACTTAAAAATATGTTCTCGTCACCACTTAAGAGCACGGAATTGCTAAAAGTTAGGTATTTTTTTTTTTTAAAAAACCCATTCTTGTTAGCAACTGCATGATAGGTAAAACATTGAAGCAATATTTGAAGAAATCGTCAAGATTCACTAAATTATGTTAGAAATTTTAAAGTATCTTCATAGAGTGAATTATTTTCCGAAATTTGTGATAGTGTAAAACCGAAATTAATTTATCATTAAACAAGAATGGATGAGAAAACGTCTGAATATAAAACAAATTTGTTTCAAATACTGAAAAAACATATGTAAATGAAATGTTATACTGTCATCTCATATGCATGTGCGTCAAAATTTTCCAGAAACGTGTGTGTGTGTGTGGGGGGGGTGAATACGATTCAAAATTAAATTTGGTATTTCAGACAAAAGAAAGAAAAAGGAAAAGCAACAACCAATAAACAAAGGAGAATAATTAAATTAATAAATGAACTAAGCGAAATAAACTCGTGTAAAAATAAATGGCATTAAATGCCGGCTTACATCATTTCGCATCTCTTCATTTTCACACAAAGTTTTCACGATGCACGTGTGGTCTTCACTTTCACATCCAGTTTTTTCAGCAGCCATACTTCTTACCTTTAAAAAGTAACAAAATATGATTCAGAAGTTTACGGTATTTAAAAGTGGAAGTTAAGATTTTATGCTTCTAATAAAATTCGGTTTTATATTTATAGTAAAGTTATATGAGTTTTTATATTTATAGTAAAGTTATATGAATAACATCTTAATCGGAATTTTATTCAAAATAAAATATTTTACACATCATTTTGTTCTAACTTCTAAAGGTTTTATTATTTATTTTTTATTTTTATTTTTAGATTTAGCAAACTAATTAATCAAATGAAATAATTTATTAGACAAAATGTTTGTTAAAAATCAGAGGTTCCGAATTTAGGTACTGTTAAAAAATGATTCAATTTATTATGCTTGATTTTTATTGTGACGTAATTTAGAATTTTGTAATCTGATGCACAAATCTTTTTATGAAAAAAAAAAAAAAAAAAAAAAAAAACATAAATTATGTAAGAAAGAATGAAAGTTTCTTCTACAAAAAATAATACCAACTTTTAATTGGAAGTACGATAATAAATCGCGTTTTATTAGCCCAAATGGCTTTAGCCCAGAAGGGCTATTAATTTTGCTTTGACATTTTGCGTTAGTTCACTATAAAAGTCCGAATCATTTTTTAAATTGTTTCCACCAAATATTAGAGCCCTGCATTTTATTTAAAGAAATTAAATAATGAAGAATCTGCAAGAATGTATGTAAGTTTCTCGCATTATGAAAAAACAGAAATACCTGGAGACATCAAATTTTAAATAACACGTAGTCCTCCACTCGATTATGGGCATCTGGAAGCCCAAATTTGGAATCAGAAATTTGTTTTACTATCTATTTCATATTTTGTAAAACTTTAACGAATTTTTGATTAAAAAATTCAACGATTTCAAAGCCTTCCATTAACATTAACAACGCTTGCAACTTCAAACACGGATATTTTATGCGTGAGGTTTCTTTACATTTCTTACTGGTATTATGTTGCTAGCGTAACAACGCAAAGACGTTACAAAGTCTAACGGAATTCTGCGCCGAATGACCTTGAATGTTTGTATAACTTTTCAAAACCCTTTACCCCCCATGAGAAAAACGCCCCTTTGGGCGTCATATAAAATCTGAAAGCTTTCAGATATTATTTTATTTTTGTATTTATACTTATTTTAATTTATATTATTTTAAACATTTAGAAAAAATTACTATACAAAGGATAAAATAAAATTTTCTTTAAAACTTTGCTAAAGGTATCATCATAACCTGTGAATTTAATAACCATTAATATTTAATTTTTCTTTAAATGTAGTGCATAATAATATGAAAAAGAATGAAATTTCGATATACATTGCACAAAAAAAAAAAAAAAAAAAAAATAGGGGGGCAGTTCTACATCTCCCTTCTACTGGGCCGATTGACGAAATTCAGCTTGCGTTTTTCATGTCTCGAAAGCACGACTTAGGCTATGTATTAGATTTGTATAGATATCATTGTTCTAATAAAGGTATTTGGACACCGAATCGGACTTTTTCTGAAATGATATGCCTATTTTTTCTCATATTTCAATTTCACGACTCAAATTACGGCAAACTACCAAGTTTTGTAAAAATCGCACGAGTAGTTTTTAAAAAATTAGCTCTCAAAATTTTAGCTCCTCAATGTTAATTGAGTTTGGTACGTATTTATTAATCTCTCTTTTTTTTTTTTTTTTATGAAACTTATTTGATTCTTCCTTTCACATTTCGAAATTCAGGTTCATTCCAAATTAATTCACCCATTTTTTATAATTTATTTTTAAAATTTGTATTTTTAAATAATTTTTATAAATTCTTGAAAACAAATTTTGAATCGTAATCTATAAAATTTTATCATCATCTTAAATAGACGTATTTCTAAGCATGCATGCAAAAAATTAGTGTTTTTTATTCAAAATTTCCGAAGATATACGTGAATTTATATATTGGAGCGTTTGAAATTTGGCATATTTGTTGAAAGCGATAAAACATCAAATGTGGTTTGGAGACGTTGTTAAAATTATTTGAAAGTAGGATTCTTGGCGCAAATTGAAAAAAATTGCTCCAAGATCAATTTTTGAATTTCTTCGTAAATTTCGCATCAAATTTTACAAAATTTAATACCTAGGCATAATTTTAGTCGTAGAATCGAAATATGGGAAAAATTGGTATGTTATTTCAGAAAAAAGGCCGATTTTATGTCAAAATACCTATGTTAGAAGAATCCTACTTATAAATCTAATATAAAGTCGCTCTTTCGAGACATGAAAAACGCAATTTGAATTTTGTCAATCGGCCCAGTAGAAAGGGAGATTTTTTTTTTCGCAGTGTACATTAGTTTTGTGGTAGTCCGAAATTCAAAATACTTAACGTACATTCATATTTTAATCATATTTGGCGTAATAATAATTCTTATAATAACACTAGTGCATGATTCACAGACAACATTCTGATAATCTTCGAAACAAGTTACGTTACTGTGTATGAGCAAATTTAAACTTATCAACAAAATTAAACTTAGTTACGATACTTTTCCTTATTATACTACCTGAAGCAACTAAATTTATAATACAATTTTGCAGGAGGTAGTAGTATTCAGCAATAATAATACTCTCTGATATAAGCCTAGAAAGAAATGGCGATATGAATGTGATACAACAACTAATGTTAACCCACATAACACAGCTCGGCCACTGTCAGACCTTTTATTTTACAAATGTAATAACCATGTAGAGACATTAGGTAAATTTTGAAAGCAGAAGAGATGAAAAATTAACAATCGCCTTCGCCGGGAATCGAACCACGGACCTCTAGAATACCGGCCCAGCGTGCAGAGCCACTATACCACGAAGGCACGCTAGGAAGGCGGGAGAAATACCTTACAACCATATACATTGTATGAACATCGCATCATCTGCGATGATTAGGTTTGTATAATTTAGTAAGCTTAATGAGAAACTTTTAAACAGTAAATTTGTGAGCAGTAAAATAAGTAATTAAACTGCAATTTTAAGCAAAGTCATAAAATACCTACTTCTTCAGGCAACAATTGTAGGCACTGCAGTTTCTCCTCACTTTGTGGTTCTTCTCCTAAAATGTAATATTTAAAAAATAAGTGAGGTGGATTATTAACAATATTCTTTGAGAAGATGAACAGAAGTATATAAATATTATTTACTTGAAAACGTCTGCGTGGTTGTTAAGTATGTGTGTTTAATTTAGAGTTTCAAGGAGAAAAATAAAAGAATTATGTGTACCCTCTCAGTGCCTGAGTCGGGTTCAAAACCCTTCAACTGGCCAGGTCATATGTATATGTCTAAGAATATTTTCGCTGGCGCTCCTAAATAATTACGTATATGCTCATCATTGCTTTGCAATGATTCCAAACTATTAAAGCTGTTTATAAGAGAAACAGAATCCAGCTATAAAGAAGCAGCGGAATCATGGAATTGTGGTCAAGCAAATGCCTACTTTTTGGCCCTTCAACTGGTTAGGTCATATGTGTATGTCTAAGAATATTTTCGCTGGCGCTCCTAAATAATTACGTATATGCTCATCATTGCTTTGCAATGATTCCAAACTATTAAAGCTGTTTATAAGAGAAACAGAATCCAGCTATAAAGAAGCAGCGGAATCATGGAATTGTGGTCAAGCAAATGCCTACTTTTTGGCTGAAGGCTTAGTTAATTAATTTATATTAATATAAAATCCTATGTATCCATTTCCCATATTTATGGCCTTTGCTTTAAAATTCGTGCTACCCATCCTTTGCTTTCCAATCCTTGCCAACTCCATGCCTTTGTCCGATTTGTTTCCAACATAAAATGGCTTTCTCTTTCTTCTGTAAATTTATCTCTTACGTGTCATCTGTGAATTTGTAAGTTCATTTTATTTTGTGTTGTGTTGTTGTATTTTTTTTTTTACTTACCTCTGTAAGCCTTGCGTAATACTATGTGGTGCACAAGGATTTAAAATTTTCAAAAGTTCTTAAATTTCCTTGCGATGGCGTATCACATAGGTATATCACACGTACTGAGGGGAAGGAAATATTTGAGAAGGAGTTTATAAAGAAAAACGTCTCCCAGAACTTCAGGTAACCAGCCTATCTATTTACTTACTGGAAATCGAGTCTGGGTCAAAATTACTATTATCAGCTTTAGACAGTTTCCAATGGTATCTATGAAAAAAAAAAAAAAAAAAAAAAAAAAAGACGTATGCCACCTGATTTCAGATTAAATTTTTTAATAGTTTAGTTTAATGAATTAATTACAAAACCAGCTTGAATTAGAATCAGTCAGACAGTAAAGCTACCTTACTACCTTACTCTGGCGCAGGCAGTTGTAGTGAGAATTTACATGGACATATCCCCTTTTAATTAGAGATAAATTTATTAATATATACTGTAAAGTGTCTTCTTCATAACGTAATGATAAGTCTAGGTTTTGAGACAGAATATATTATTCGTTGTTATAGTTCTGTATGTTCTAAATATGTTTATCGTTGTTATGTTCTGTTTTATTTGATAATACTGTTTGTTCACAGGTTTGAGCTCAACGACGCATATTCAGTACGCATTTAAAATGCATACGTAAAATATAAAACTTAAACTCATGCTAAAGTAACAATAACATGATGTATTACTATGATATATTACAAGATTTTGACAAAGTGAACTAAGTATGCTGACTGTCGTCTCAACAATAGTTATTAGTCCAAAGGGATTTCAGTCCCGAAGGACTATTGCTTTCGTTTTGGCATTTTGCGTCGGACTCATAAACGTCGGTTCACTTTTCAAACTGTTGCCACAAAATGTTAGAGTCCTGCATTATATTTGAAGAAATTAAATAATGAAAAATCTGCATAAATGATTGTCTATTTCTCGCATTGTGATAAAACAATGGTACATAGAGCCATCGAATTTTGAATGACGAAATCCTACTGCGAATATGGGCATCTGAAATCCCAAATTTGGAATTTGTTTTATTATAGATTTTATATTTTGTAAAACTTTAACGAATTTTCGATTTACAAACTCAATGCTTTAAAAGCGAGAAATGGCAACGTTATATAGAAAAAAAAATACTTTTATCTCCAGCTCGCGAGACTGTGTATATCGGAAATTCTAAAGATATGCTTAATTTAACATTATTTTGCGATATTGCTCTTGAACTGAATTTTATGGTTTAAGTGCAAAGAACATCATATTTAATAAATAAAAGTAACACTCAAAACGTTAAAAAAACGCCCCTTTGGACGTAATTTAAAATCTGAAAAATTTCAGATTTTTTTTTTTTTTTTTTTTTTTTTTTTATTATTTTCATCAAGAAATTTGAGCCTCCAATTTTATCATATATGTGGTCAGGTTGGCCTCGAAATAGTAAATAATGTTAAAAAGTGTAAACAACATTAGAAAACAGACAATCTGATTCACGTTTGTATGACCATTGTTTATAGTGGCTTATAGATAAAGAGAAGGGAAACTGTTTTGATATTGAATAGGTCTTGAAAGATGAAACCCCCTCATTTGCCCTTTCCACTCCGCAGGTGTGCGATGGAGTGTTGCATGTGAACGAGGATTACGAGTGCGGGTTTCCGTAGAGCGCAGTTGCTACACAACAAGCGTTTTCTAAGCTTGTTCTGTTTCGCGTTGGTAATATTTCTGTACGAACGAAGTCTAAATTATAATGGTTAAAAATCTTCCACATATTAGTAACTATGCCCGTTACTGCCTATCAGACTATTTCGGGCAAAATATGCAGGGTCTGAATCATGCTTTTTGATGAAGCAAATCAAAAAGCAGTCAGAAATCAAAAGCCACTGATGAGTTCGTCAGCACACTATAAGAAAAGTTTGCTTGATGAAAAATAATTTGTATGCTTTTATTTTAATTATTTTAGTCTTACAAATATGCTGTTAGGCCTTTCATTTATAATTCGCTGCTAGTTTTCTGAATGAATAAACAAAATAATGAGTTGTGCAGATAAACTGCGACTTGACAGCCCGGCTTACTGCGACTCACTTTAATGACGGCTAAAAATTAAAATTAAAAATCCTCTTATTTAAGTTTACCGCTAGCATATGCAGGTCTGCAAAAGTTTTAATACTCTGAATAATTATTTAAATATCTCTCCACTTACAAATAGCACTATGTGACCTCAGTGGATGTTATTTACTTTTCATTTTTTGATTGTTGTGGTAAGTAAAAGAAATCTCTAGAGGCTACAAATATATACAAAAAGCTGTAATGCAGCTTAGGAGACTTTTGGAAAAATTAGAATATCGATCAAGTCCGATATTCTACTTTGCAATACACTTTGGAAAAAGTAGAAGTTGTTTATTCGGTCCAAAGTATTGGAACTTCTTGGAAAGAATTCTCAGAACGATGCACATGAGAAATTTGGAAAACGACTCTACTACTGGAAATGCTGAAAGAAAAAAACATGCACGATATCTTGGAACAAATCTTGGAAGAGAAGTGAATAACCCTTACGCTGGATCTAGACAAGTAGTATGAAAGTGTCGGTTCAGCGCTAGGAGGTGCAGTGTCAAGCAAGCCCGGCAGGCAAATCTTGCTGGCGGATTGCGGATGAGCAAGCTGAGCAGTGCGAGTGAAGTAAGCTTTAAAATCCGATTAGAGATTACTTGCATTGATTTACCGGCGGTAATTTCCTTTACTTTACTTTTAGGATTTTTAGCCTTTGCATTTTTCTTCATAGTCCAACTGTTTTACTACGTATATGATGGTTATTTCCTAGGTACCGTTAACGGCGCTCATTTTTTAATTTAATGATTGATTCAGAAAGCCTTAATTTTAAATTTTAAATTTTTCCGTATATTTTAACTTATAACTTCCTATCTACTCAAAATTTTCCCTTATTTCTTAAATCTTCAGCTCATACTACCGCATTTATTTTCCATAATCTTAATTATATTGCTCATTTTTATTATTTATTTCCTTTTACATTTTTTTCATGCCTTTTAACTAATACTTTTAATGTTAATTTACTTGTTACATTTTACGAGATACGTGTTTTAATTTATTACATTACTTAATTTAGCTGTATTCTTTAACTTTTTAGTACATTTTAACGTTTATTTTGAATTTTGACTTTTATGTTATATTTTGATATCAAACACCTGATCTATACTTAGTTTTAAATGCAATTTTTAACTTCTTTCGTGCATCATAACCTTCATAATTATTAGAATTTTTTAATTTTTAACTAATTTATTATATTTTCACATCATATACATGACCTTTTATTTAATTTTTAATTTTCTTCATACACTTCGTAATTTGCAACATACTCTTAATTTTAACATAACTCCTGTTTTTTCCGACCATACTCATGACTTGTATGTACTGCTTAATTTTAGGTATCATTTTGAACTTCGTAATTTTCTTTATTGGGACATGAAATGGGATGGGACATAAATTGTTGAAAAATGGCTTAACATGAAAATGTTAGGTTGGTAAAGTTTAAGATTTATAATAAATGCAACCATTACAGCCTAGGAAGTGTGCACACAGTATCAATATTCTATTAAATTATGTTTTTAGTATGTGAGTATTTGCATATAAGACTGGTGTAAGTTGTAAATATATGTTAAGTTATTCTAGTAATTATGAGTTTCTGCTCTTTTCTCTTAGGTATATTCTACTGGTTAAGCGTTTGGTCTAAAGCACATTTTGACGCGTCACCTAAAGGGACATTCGGAAGAGAAATCGTTTCATTGCATGGAATGTGAAATGTCATTCTTTGAAAAAGCGATTTAAACAGGCATATGAAAATTCATGATGAGAAAATACCTTTCTAATGCAGTATGTGTTCGAAGAGATTCACCCGCATTTGACTATTTAAGAGTTCGTGAAGCGATTTGTCTTCGAAATTTTACTTGTGCAATATGTTTACAAGTTTACCCGAAAACAAATGATTTGAAGAGACACCTGAAATCTCGTGAAAGGTTTTACAGATGTAGTGTATGTCCTGAGAAATTTACGATTTTCTCTAATACAAAGAATGATCAAGACCTAGATGGGTTTCATAAGTATATAAAGTCAAAACGTGTAAAAAAATTGAGTGATAATGTAGCAACATATCCGTATCTGAAATGAAATGCAGTTGTTATTGTTAAAATGAGTCGTGAGTTTGAAAATATGGAAACGGAATATTATTTACCCACATTTCTGTAGCATCTATTTGCAGTTATTTAAAGCGTATGATATAGAAAGAGAAATTAACTAAGCTTTGAAAAAGAGCTCTGTTAAATTTATTAAAAAGTTAAAAAGTTATTAAATGGGAAATAAATGTGTTCAGATACGGGCCCTTTTCTTATAACAGTTGATTAATTATTCACGTATCGTAAAAGTAAAAATATTAATTTGAAAATAAAATTTAAAAAATTAATAAAAGAGAAAAAAGTAAAATTAAATGTGCGCGTGTATTCAATGATGGTATTACATTGATTAATGTAAATAACTGATGATACATGTATTAATATAGTGAATGCTAAACGCATGGAGAAAAAAGTATGTAAAATGAAATAAATTATAAAAATGAGCAATATAATTAAAATTAAGGAAAGTAAATGTAGTAATATGAACAGAAGATTTAAGAAATAAGGTAAAATTATGAGAATATATGAAATTATAAGGCTTCAAATATATGGAAAAATTAAAAATATACATCTAAAATTAAGGTTTTCTGAATCAATCATAAATTCGAAAATAAGCACCGTTAAGAGTATCTAGGAAATAAACATTCTATACATAGTAAAATAGCTGGAATAGGAACAAAACTACAAAGGCTAAAAATCCTAAAAGTAAAGGAAATTACCGCCAGTAAATCAATAAAATGTAATCTCTAAACAAACTGGAAAGCTTATCTCACTTGCACTGCCCTTATCAGTTTGCTGGCTCATCCGCAATCCGCCTGCGAGATTTGCTTGCAGGTTTACTGCGCACTTCGCCTCCCGGTGCTGAACCGGCGCTGTCATACCACTTAGACACTTGTGTAGAATATATAGAAGAATCAGTGGATGACGAAGATGGTGACGATTTGATTAATTCCCAAAATAAATAACTGTAGAAGATGATGGGAACAACAAAGAACGTGAAAAATAGAAATTTTCAAAGCAATTTATTACAAAAGAATTATTTTCTAAATTAAATCAAGGACTTCAGCTGGTCAAAAATGTGAACACTACTCATTTCACCAAAGTAAGTTTAAAAGTAAATTCTAGGAGCAGTTAGATGTTATTGCGAAATATGGAGAAAAACAAAATCAAACAGACATTTCTGATGAAACCAACAAACAACCAAAGTTACTTTCAGTTGCAATGAGTCATCCAAATGAGTAACAAGTTTTCTCCGTCATTTTTAATAAAAGACATCATTTACATGTTTTTCTGATTTTGCTTGTAAAATAAATATATGTAACGTTAAATAATATTATAAAATACGTACGCATACGGTGCATATGCATGTAAATAAAATACAAGTCTCATAACTGTCAGTTTTAATTTAGTGCCGTTTCCACCCAGCCAGTAGTAACTTCTTATAACAAATTGCTCTAACTGTGTTATTTTGAAATTAATCACTGTCATATGATTATTACATAAAGCTAGTGACGCAGAGACTTGCATAACTGTTCAGCTATTAATAGTTTTAGAGAGTTATTAATTAGCCAATTAAAATGAAGTTAAACTGAAAGTAGGTCATTCTGATCCAAGCTTTCATCTTGTACACATCGCATTTGCTCTCTGCTTCTCCTACGCTAGCTAAATCTGTCAATGCTTCTCTTATCGCAATGTCTTGAAAAATGTAGGCATTTGAGCATTTTTCAAGCATATATAACTTATCGTTTACTTCGTGAAGTTATGTGTAATTATGTTGGGTAACCGCAACGCAAGGGTGATGGAGAGTAACTGTATAAAAGGTTTATTAATTAATTATCATCATCATTAGTCAGTTTATACAATAAGTTGTTTTATTTTTAGATTGATTTAAATTGGAAATTTAATATGTGCAGAATGCTTTTTTTTTTTTAAAGCGAGAAACAGGGCAAACACATTGGATCATCTCCGGAACTGGAACCAAGGATACCAGAACACGAATCACGAAACAGTATAGTAGTTTAAATTGTCACCCGGATAATGCGTAATTTCAGTTATAGCCGATTTTTTTTCAAAGTCCCAAAATATCTCAGTTGCTGCATGTATAATCCCTCTATCAAGAAGAAAACTCAGCTAAAGAACATTTCAAAGTTACATTTTCTATTATTTTCCTTTCCTAAAAAGTCATTTAGTTTCTAAAATCCAATTAAGGATATAAGAAAATGGCATAAATTTAATTCCCTTTACTCCTCTCCAATCTAGTCATTACATTAAGCATATAAAGGCTACATTTTAAGTGGTGAAATCTAGTTACCTTTCGCTGAGTGTTACCCATTCTTGAAATTCTTTTAGTATTGATTTTTTTTCCTTTGTGCTCTTTTAATAAAATGTTAAATTTGTTTCGATATAGAATTCGCGCAGACAACTGAAAACAATCGATATGATTTTTAGTGATTTTCTTATCCTATTTATCTAGAATGTCTTCGCATGGAAGAAAGATGAAACACTTTTAACAAATTATATTTGATGACAACATAGACATTAACAAGAAAACAAAAATAATCAATTCTGATGAAAAATCATTGAGAGTGATAGCTTTGCGGCAGCGCCGCACATGACATGAAATTTTGTAACACTGCCTATGTTGTTAAAAATAAATATGAAATTAATTGGAAATTGCAAGAGTATTTTAATGCAGAATTTTCATAAACTGTAAGCTTCATTAATATAAAACAGGCAAAAATCAATCTTACTCAAATGTTACGAAACTTTCTAAAAGTCTTATGTAATTGCATTGTAGAGTCATTAAGTTATTTCGAAGCAGGAGGGACGAAAAATCAGCAATGCCTTCGGCATGCGGCAGCTGTAGAATTATCAACGGTTTTAAATGTTTAAGTGTCGCTAAGCCTAACGAGGTCGCTATTTCTTTACATTTAACTCTTAGTAAAACAGTAAAGTAATACGGCTGTTGCAACAACTTCAGTGTGTTTTTACCCAGTGCAACCAAAAGTTAACGTTCAAATTTGTGCAAGGAAAATTTTGCATTCCTGCACACTGGCCGAATTTCTTGTTTTTGCACCAGAACTGTAATTGTAATTGTAAATATTTTTTAAAACTTTTTAAACTGTACATGGTCTTTTAGGTTTTCCTGTACTTTACAATTTTTTAATGAAGATTGAGGTTTTATGCATTTTTGCCTTGTTGCGAAGAGAGAACCTTATTGATTGAATATAAAATATATCTGCCATGAAATTCGAGACAAATTTAAATGAAGTGCAGGAGAAAATGCGTATGATTTAATAATCCCTACAAGGAAGTCATGTGAGGTCCACATCAGATAGTTTTTTTTTTTCTTTTTACTTTAAGCACCATTTCTTCGCACTTACATATAGCTCAGCATCAAAATCAAAACGATTTTAAAGGCGTATGACGTTGTTTTAAGTATTGACATACATTTTTATATTTTTTCGGTCTTTTCTCAGTTTATCGTATCAATATTCAGTTTCCTTAGCAAGATGGGTAACTTTTTTAAATATTTTTATTATTAGCATTTTATGTATTAACATAGTTTATTAAATATAACTTTCTTCACATTTAGACTACATAAAGTTAAGTTGAACAGCAAAATATTTAAAAAACATCTTATGTTTAGAATTCTCGATAGAGGGTTAAAATATCCATATAGTCGCTGTCACATTTTTTTTAAAACTAGCCGTTCGCCCGGCCATACGTTTGAAGTAGTTATGAAAAAAAAAAAAAAATTTAATGACTTTAATCGCTTAATATCGAATATTTCTAATTAAGTATCTCATGCTTTTAATATATGGTTATTAAAATCAATCGTATCAAAAAGTAGAAAAAATATTCTTAAGAACCGTGTTTATTGTATTTAATCTCTTAGTTTATTATTCCGTCAACTTCCAGATCAAATTTAAAAGCATCTCAGGCTTTACTAAATTGCAACACGCTGGGGAGTGAAAGATAAAAGTATTTTATTTCCAGCCGCGGCAACACATTGCTTTTATAGTGCAGTGTATGTTAAAACTGCTGTGATTAATGTCTTAAGCTGTTTAGTAAAGCCATGAAATTGTATCTAATGTCTAGTCAGTCAACATAGGCTTTTCAAATTTGTAAGTTAGACATAGTCACAACATTTCAAATTTGTTAGAGCAAATTTGAAAGCAAAATGTAAATTGATGCTTGTTTTACTCAAGAAATAGAATTTCTTGTTGTTTGTACAAGATTCCTCTTGAAAGCTTTGAACACCGGTACTATTAAATCATGAAAAAGATATTACAGTCCCAGGAATACCAAAATTGTTTTTGAGACATAGACTGAAACTGAAAGAATATCATTTACGTTTTATGCAAAATTTTATTTAAAATAATGTTAAAAAGGTATTGAATGAATACCTTATAATATACTTGTTCTTCTCAACTAATAAAATTATCTCAATACAGTAAAGAATGCTTTATGAATTAGGTGTGATTGATTATGTTGCCCGTATTCGAATTTTCCAATTCTCTGTTCGCTAATGAGATTATAATAAAAAGTACACGAAGGAGTTAATTTTACAGGAAAAATAGTATTATTATTACGAAATATTTTAAAAAAGCTAAATATCTAAAGAAATATTGTAAAAAGGCTCTTACTTACCACACAGAATTTCCAAGAATTTGTGAAATGTTTCTTTAAATTCTTCATTTCCTGCGACGAATGACAGACTGCTTAAGCAAACCAAAATTAAAGCTGCTGTGGCTTTCATTATGAATCTAACGTGTTGTTCTTTATTCGGTCAGAAGCTTATGAAATCACTCAGAATTTCATAGGTATATATAGCGAAATGATAATGACGTTATAATATTTGCGTGATAGTTAAATTGTTGTAGAATGTTTGCAGATTGCATTGGATAATAAACTCTCTTTGAGTGTTTGTATTACCATCAGCAGGTGGTAATATTTTATTGAAAGACCTTCTTTTCCTGGTTCGATTATTGTTTAGCATACTTGAAATCAGATTTCAGAACAATGTTCGACGATCACGACAATCATCAGAGAGGTACTTTTCATTTTCTTATGAAAAGAAATTCTGCTAACCCTTTTATTGTATTACAGTTTGCCTTTCGAATAGACATTCACACGAGTTCAGCCACAATTGTGGAATAAGTATCCTTTGCATCCGTTTTGTATATCCCTCAAATGGTGAAGTTGAAACTTATTTTCAGGAAACGGTGACATTAAAAAATTTAGTTCATTGAATTATTTAATGTTTTTGTTACTATTTTATTTATCATAAAAAGATTAAAAATGGGTAATAATAATTTTAAAAAAAGTTTGAAGGTGGCAATAATCTACCTTTTTCAATTAAAACTGATGTGAAAATACCGATTACACGATTCCGTGAATTAACGAAAGTCTAAAATGGACGTTAGTCATTTTTAATAATGTTATGAGTAATTTCGTTCTCCTCCCCGCATTTTCTTTAACTTAAGCGTTCTATGCAATAGGAAATTAAGTATTACATTAGTAATTTGAGTCTACCATTTAGGATTCCAGCCAATTATTAAATTTAGAGGTCGAACCAATGGCTGAGGGACCCTGGTAATTCCCCAGGCTCCATTCGTAGCAGTTAAAACGGTTGTTTGCATGCAGTTAGTTAGTTTATCTCCTATCGTAACGTAAATGTTGGACACTAATTTTGGACAGTCCACCGCAAAGAACAATTCATATGAAGATAATCCTAACATGGTTTGTAATGGTTAAATAATACAGTCAAGTCAGGTTTTCAAATACTATCGGAAAAGCTTCCGTTTTAATTAATGCAAAAAAATTAATAATTCCATTAAGGTGTGAACTGTGTTGTAATGTAATCCTCGTCGGGTTTCGAACTCCGGACTTCCCGTCTAGCCAGACATGCTTCCAGTTACATCATAAAAGCCTAGGAGGGGGAAACACCTTACACAATGATTGACCTCTTTTACCAACAATGTAAGGAACATATGTGCACATAAGTATACTGAGTTTGTTAGAATATCTAAAGCGTTAAATGACCTAAAACAATGAACTATAAGGATCACATTAAATACTCTTTACTGTACGAGTGTGGTACAAAGCTTCAGTCGCAGCTTGCCGTAATATTTATCAAATATGGAATGGGAATGTAGATGACGATAACAGACATCGAGATTGGTTTCAGTAGTTCCGTAATGGAGAGAGATATAAAGACTAATTCAGAAGTCAAACAACAAAAATCAGCGTTATATTTACAAAATTTTCACAGAACTAGTTTCGATGGTTTTACCGAACCACCATCCTCAGCTGCAAAACCGTTAGAACACTAGAATTACACTAGAACGTTTTTTTAAATTCTCGACATCCGCCATTCTTAGGGCTTTCTGTACCTCTGGATCCCGAATGGCATAGATGAAGTACTTTAGGGACAATATTTTCTTTTTTTCTGTCGGGCAGTCCGAAAACACTAAATGAGAAATTCTTTCAACATCCGATGTAAGCTACTGGAGTGTTTCCTTGGGCATCTGTTGGCGAGGTTTTAACTGAAACCTACTGTAATCTTTTAAACACTTTTCGCCAAAGTGCATCCAAGCGCGTCATATGGAGTTTTGACGACTAGTCTCTGATTTTCGGGCAGAGTTTTAAGGATATGTGCTTCATTTGCTCTCAGAGAAGCGGCGAGATGGCAGACTTTAGGTTCAGAATCCCATCCATTTGCATTTTTTGCTATAGTGAACAGCTTTTTGTACACTTGCCAGGAAGTGTGTGTGTGTGTGTGATTATGGCAAAGCCTCGAGGGCTATCTTCCTAAGGGGAGGGATGCCTTCGTGGAAGACTTCCTAAGGGAAACTGGCTCGTATACACGTTACACATGGGGAAAACCACGAAAACGCCCACGCAGCCAGCCAGTTCGGGGGATTCGAACCTCGGACCGAACTACCAGTGTTCAGCAACTTTACCGCTCGGCCGCTGGTGGGCCCCACTTGCCAGGAAGACTTTCTATCATACGTGGATAACTTTAGGGGAGTTCATACATGTACAAATTCAAATGTGTTAGAATTGTGATCAGCTAACGTTATTAACTTCTTCAAAGTGTCAACTTCATAGCGACAACAGCAGAAACTCTGTCTTCGATTTATTGTTCAACAGCGGAAACTCTTTCTTAAAGTTCTCCAACTTTATCTTCAACCATGTCTATTCACGCTTCCATAGCCTCGAATTTGTTTGCTATTATGTCAGTAATTTCTTGTTTCATTTCTTCTTGATCAGCTTTCATATCTTTTTTAACTGAATTGACGGCTTCTTACAGTTTTTTTTTTTTGGCCCGTTTTCTTCTCTTCTTTAATGGATTCTTGTTCTACTTCCCTAAATACCTTCACGGAGTAAACAGTCCCTTCCTTCTTTCCGTGGAATGCAAACAGTGGCAGTCACCAGCTGTCTTAGTCGTTCATTTCTCTTGTTGCTGGCATTCAAAGCCTTTCCTGACACCAAAATTTGCTGCATGCGTATGGGTTCGTAATAAATTGAATGCACACAGAATCGGTGAGAGCTTGATAAAATTTATTATACCAAAAGAAACACTTCACCATTCTGGAACTTTCCACAAAATTATTCGTGCAACTCTTCACACTATTACAGAGTACATTCAGTAGTTACACTTCAAACTATTAAGAACGTTAAACGCATCTCAAACTCAACTGCAAAGTAAATCTAAAGAATAAAGCTAACTCGGGGATATGTCAATACTCCAAATTTTAGTCCAGCAATCTGAACTTACTAAATTTAGTGAATTGCATAGGTAAATAGTGATTTAATTAGTATATTTAGATCTTATCTAGAATATAAGAGTAAAAACAAAAATTGAACATTCCAGAGATCTCAATAATTTGGGTCACAAATTATTTGTAAAATGATCATAATTGAATTACGTTGTTAAAATGATGATCTAAGTTTATTATTTTGTTGAATCCTGATTTCTTATGTGGTGATAAACAATACGTTATAAGAAAATGTATGGGAAGAGTCTTTCCGATGTTTGCGCAGTCGATTGCTTTTGTATCATATTTAATTCCGCCGCTAACAATTTGATCGTTAACAATGCAACCGCTTTCCCGATTATAATTGATTTTGCTGAGAAGGGAATTTTGAAAATTACCAGGAAATAATATTTTTGACAGTAAATTTACATTATGCTGTGAAGTTGCGTGATACGGATGTTAAATTTTTAATCATTTACTTTACCTAAGCTGTTATGTTCGCTGCAGGAAAAATGGAAATCCATTCTTTTTTCATTGAAAATGTGACCACGCAACCAGCTAAAATTCAGAATAAACGAAATACAGGATGTTTGCACTTTTTTAGCAATGCGCAGTTAGATGAATTTAAAAAAGGATAAATGGACTCTGATTTAGAAGCCTTGCTATGATGAATTCTATCGCATTAAAAGTTTGACATATCCCTAAAAAATTATAGAAAGGTGAGTCCGTGAGAGAAAAATTAAAGAAGAGTTTTAAATTCATATCAGCACAATGATACTATCATAGATTTTGACTTTTAAATTTTCATAGATTAATATTTGTATTTTCAGCTACATTTATTTTCTGAAACCTGATACAAGATTGGTCGTGCATTATCTCAACTGGTTAGCATAGTAAAGCAATAATTACAACACAGATATTGCATTTTTAAATATTCGAGATGATAGCGTTTTTTTAACTAACAGGTCACTTCTTCATTTATATGAAAAAATTGCCATAATTTTTCAATCATCTGTCACTCCTTTTGTATTTTTTTCGAAGGTGATCAGTTATTTTGGCTAACTTGTAAAACGTCTTCTTTTTGAAATCCCGAACTACAGTAGTTTATAGTATCATATCCGGAAACTTTGCTGATGTTATCCCGATGGACTACCTCGAATCAAAATTGTATGTTTATACCTATCTCCTTCTTTTTCCCTCTAGGAATCCCTATATATTGACGTTTAACGATTTTATTTCGGTGGAGTTCAACTGTTTTTACATTATGTGGATAATGACGCAGAATTTTTTTGTTAAATACGAGAGTCGAAGTACTGTTTTGATAACGCTTACTTTTTATACGTTTGTTTTGATTATTTCCAAATTATGATCTTTCACTGAGAATTTTCTGCAGACTCGTAACATGATATGTTTACATCTGTTCTTTGTGAAAGTTAAATTAATAGTTTTCTTCCAGCCCTTCTTCATTCATACTCATATTAGAGTGTTCCATGTAATGTGTTAATGGTCCATGTAATGTTCATGTTAAAAATTCAGGTAATGTGTTAATTTTTCTCGAGAATAATGACTTTCATAAATTCTATGTGAAACCACGATCTGCTCCATGCCTGTTCCGGAAGAAATAGTACATATCATGCAATTTTTTTTGGCTTTTTTAAACTTAAAGCTTTGTTTATTAGTTTATTTCAAGTTCATACAGCTATTCTAAAGTTTATGGCCACTGAGACACTGAGAAAGGTTTAGTAGCAAAGTTTCAAATTTTGAAATAATCACCTAAGTTTTCAGGCCTTTTAGTAAACTTTTAGTAAACTTTCAACAGCCTATTATTCTGATCAAAATGCATCGGAAATGATTCATTTCAAATACATTGATGCAAGAAGAAATTCTTTGTTAATTTTTTTAGAAGCTGTTAAGATTCCTTGCAGAAACATAAAATGTTGTATATGGTAGCTGTCTTGTGTCTAGCAATGCACAGAGCTTCCATGTAGGGCATCTGCATCACATCTAAGACTCAAAACCTCCTGTATAAGGCCAAGAGAAAATG